GAATCGATTAATAATTTGGAAAACACCAATTTAAATACTGAGCTTTCTTTAGCATGGCCTGAAGGACTACATTAAGAAAAGCTAAGGACTCTTGCTGAAGGCAATCAAGCAAGGAAAGCTCTTGAAAACAAAAGTAAAGGCCGAATATAGAAAAAAAACCCAATTGCAATTGGTTAATTAGAAGAACAAGCAAATATATGGTCAATATTTGAAGGATATAGGAAAAAAATGATTAAAAAACCCACACAGAATTGGTTAAGATCAAGAGTCTTAAAGAAACTGAAGGCTTTATTTTACCAGCTCAAGAACAAGCTTTGCCAACTAATTGCATGAAGGGGAAAATTCAATATGTAACAAACAATGTCAGCTTTGTAGTAAAAAGTATGAATGAATTGACCATTTGATCAGTGGGCTGAAGCCAAGTTTTACAGACTATAAGCAGCATCGTGTTTGAGTTGCCAGAATTATTCATTGGAAACTTTTGCCAGAGGTATGGATTGGAATAAAATTATTGGGACCATCAAGTTCAGAAGGTTTGGAAAATGAGCAGGTTAACATCTTATGGGATTTTAAGATCCAAACAAACAGGCATTTTGTTCATAACAGCCTTGATATAACAGCTGTTGAAAAGAAGATAGTCTGGTTCATTGATGTTGCTATTCCGGACAATGCTAGGATTAAGGAAAAACAACTGGAAAAATTACAAAATATATCAGAACTTGCAGATCAAAGTTGAATGCTTAGGGCAAGGGTGTCAAACTCGCAACGTCACGTGACGTGTCGCGACGTGTCGTGACTTTTTTTCCATTGCCGGTAATGGGGTGAGCACAGTTTTGGCATGATGCATCTGGCCCATGGGCCGGCAGTTTGACACTCCTGGCTTAGGGGAAAAGAAATCCATTGTTATACCAATCATGATTGGAATCCTTGGAGAAATACCTAAAGGATTTCCTTGATATCTGGAAATACTGAATTTATCAGACCTGAACACATAAAAACCCTACCCTGCTTGGAACTGTCTATATTCTTAGATGCTACCTTAAGAATTCTTAGATTCTTGGTTAGTATTTGAATTATTTCCACCAATCTTAGATTGTGAATCTAACTATAGATTATTCATGTTAATAATAATAATAATAATAATAATATCTCTTTCTATAAGTGAATTAGAATTCATTCTATGATTCTGCAAAGCAAAATTAATTAACTCTCCTGAATTAATAGTCCTCAAAATATATTTCCATGGCTATGAGTGTAAATAAGTCTTTTGTGATACAGAGGGAGAGATGGAAAAAGGCAAAAAAAAAACCCTGCCCTAAAACACATTGTTATATGGTACTAGTACCTTATACCAAGGTGTTGCTCAGGAATGTCTGTAGACTCTTCCATACCATATACAGTGGTACTTTGGTATTCAACTGCTTTGAAATTCATTGAATTTGATACTCAATGCATTCTGACGTGAAAATCTTGTCCTGGTACTCATCATTTGTTGGGTACTCAAGCTAGAATTTGTTGGTGTTGGCTGCCTTGTGACCCACTATATTATTCCTTATGGGAAAAATTGTTTGGTATTCATAGTTGTTAGTACTCATTGCACCTCCCAAACCAATGAACGATGAGTACTGTGGTACCACTGTATAAAAATGTAATAAACAGAAGCGAACATGCTACAGTAAAATACAAGCTACAGTATCACTTTTATTTCAAGAATATCTCTGAGCCCAAAAGGGTTCAATAAAGGTAATTGGCGACTGCAGCTCAGTCAAAAGCAAAGGTGGTAAAGTATGAACAGGGATTTCAAAAGAGGTCATATGTCCCTTGGCAGCTATATTGTGAATGGGCCAGGCCGCTCTTAAGACATTTTGCAAAGTGGCAATGTTTTTTTTAAGTGACCATCAGGTTGAAACTGATGAGGACTCCTTGGCTAGCAGAATACTTACCGATGCTCTTCTTTATTATGAAATCCAATATTGTTTGTATCCCAACAGTTTAGCCATTCGTTTCCAGTCATCACTCGATCCCATTGTAACTTTGGATCATCACAATCTTCATTTCTAGAGGAGCTGGAGGGATTTTCCATGGTCTAGGCAACCTTTGTTCAGTATGAGATATTCAAAAACTATCTGTGAATTGTTAACATTCTTTTAAAAACCTTTGTCTACATTCATAAGATAATGGGTTTTGCATCCTCAAGCTAAAAATCATTTTTAAAATAACATTTTGTGACATACATAGAGACTGTTATTTGCAGAAATAGCTATTTAAAGAATTATATTTGGCTTTCCTCCTCATTCATTCCATAGCATAGATTCAATGATGTACAGGATTGCCGATTTCCTGAATGAATGAAAGTAATGTGTGTGAGAGAGGAAGGGAGGAAAGGGGAAAAAACAGCATGCTTTACGGTTATGTTAATGAATGTCTATGCAACAGGGAAAGGGCAGGATAACATTCTCTTGAGTTGCAATCATGTTAGAAAGACTTCAGCATCCCAAATGTGTTACAAAAAATGCTACCAAACCCACAACAAATTCTAGTATCCAAAATCTAAATTGATTCAAAATGTGATTGATTCTCCGTGCTCATTTTAATAGTGAAAGCTCCAAGTAATTCATTAACTCCTTCACAATTTCCTGATTTTTTTTAAAGTACATTTCCACCATACCTAATGCCCAATTTTCAATTTCAGTTTCCTACTTCCAATATATTAAAGATGTATTTTCCCAACCAACATTAAGGAGATTGATGTCAGCCACTATTTTCCTGGGTGTTTTTCTAATTTAACGTCCCAGCTGATGCAGGATTGTTCTTTTACAATATTCAGAAAGTTCAAATAGAACAATGTGGCGAAAGTTCACTGGGCTTGTTTCAAAACCTTGGCAGGCCTTCAATGGTTTTTGTCAGTGCTTTTTTTCTAAAAAAAAAAAAAAAAAAAAAAGGTGCCGGAACTCACAGACGTCATACAACCTGCCTTGCCTACCCTACAAGGTTCCATCCAAAAAAAGGTGCCGGAACTCTGTTCTGGGCATTCTATGACAAAAAAAGCCCTGTTTTTTGTAGAACAGAATATCTGAAAAACAGAATATCTGTGTGATTCTGTCCATTATTTAAAACATTTCTAGAGGTCTTTTTTCTTTAGTTTTGGAGAAGATGTTAAACTTCTTTTCAAATGCTACTTTTTTCAGCAAATTAAAATACTTTTTTCAGCAAATTAAAATATACCCTCTGATCTTCAGATTGTTGTTTTTCTGCTGTTAGATGTTTTATTGGTCCATTAACCATTTCTAAAAAGTTTTAAAACTGCAATCTGCATTTAAGTTATAATGTTACTACAGTTGAATCTCTTTCTACTCAAAAGTAAAACTGAGTGCTTAAAGTGAGTAAACTTGCAGTCTCCGGATTTAAATCAATTCAAGCCAGCATAAACTTACTTGAGTGGATCTGAATTCCTGAAGACTCCATTGAAACTTCGGTATAGTTTCTTAGCAAATTAGGGAAGTTGTTGCTATTGCTTTTCTCCAAGCCATTTTGTTATCCTACTTTTCTAAAATCTTTTGGTGATTGCCCATTCAAATACTCACCCTGTTGAACTTCGGCCAAGATCAATCAGATGCAGCCACACATTAAGATGAAAATACATCAGTTTTTAATTTCGATTGTGTACTGCATTGATTTTACTATTATCATACATTTTATATCAACTATCCCGGGTCCCAAAGGTACTTTTCCAAAAGGCAACTGGACTTTGTCTTTTTTCCTTAAAAATATTTCGTTTTTCATCCAAAAAGCTTCTTTGGTTCTTCAGTTCAGAACTTGGATGAGAAGCGAAACGCTTTCAAGGAAAAAAACCAAGAGAAGACCAGTTGCCTCTTTGAAAAGCACCATTACACAACCCTGACCAGGATGATTGAGAATCTCCATGTTCTATCCCAGGGGTCCCCAACACCCAGTCCGTGGACCAATACTGGGCTGCGGCATGCCAGCAACCGGTCCGCACAAACAAGCAAAGCCCCAGCACACAAAACCACGCACTCCGGTCCACGGAAAAATCTCTCTCCATGGAACTGGTCCCTGGTGCCCAAAAGCTTGGGGACCTCTGGTCTATCCTGAACACTATCCTGGTGTTCCTACAATGGGAAGAAACCAGGGCTATAAAGCTAAGCAGAAATAAATGGGCATTGCTGCTTGGTTGGGATTTGATGGTCTGCCCTCTGACTTCATTCTCCTAGTACAGTGGTTCTCAACCTGTGGGTCGGGACCCCATTTGGGGTCAATCGACCATTTCACGGGGGTCGCCAAGCAAGGCTGTCCGCCATTTTTTTTGCCCGCCATTTTTTCCCCCTTTTCCGGCGGGTGCCTTACCTCCCTTGGGCTGGGCCAGCTGGTGGTCGGCCTGCTCCGTCTCTGCCGCTTGCCAGCTACGCCTCGGCCGGCGCAGGGGGCGGAACCATGCATGCGCGGCGCTCCCAGGCAGGGAAAGTCCTCAACTTACGACCGGTTGGGTAGTCCTCGACTTACGACCGGTTTAGTCCTCAACTTACGACTGGTTTAGTCCTCGAGTTACGATCGGTTTAGTCCTCAACTTACGACCGGTTGGGGTCGCGGCATTAAAAAGGTTGAGAACCACTGTCCTAGTAACTCTGATGATGTTACCCAGTTTGGTAATGAAACGTCTGCAGGAAAACCACCAAGCTCAGAGAGCACCAAGAACCCCCTCCCTTGGACCCGAAACCTACAAAAACAACAGCAAACCAGCAACCTGTGCGAAGAGTAACGGCGGGGACGAGGCGGCAACAGGCGAAGCTCTCAACTCCCGGCTCCTGCGGAGGCGCAGCGGCTGGACTGCGCGCGGCTGTATTCCCGGGCTGCGCTCGCGCGCGCGCGCGCGCGCGCACGTGCGGAGAAGAGAGGAAGCGAGAGGCTTGCAACATTGTCTCCTCCCCTCGCCCAACACGCCCCGCGCTCAGGCCAGCGGAAGCAGCTGCGGTGGAGCTGGTGCTGGGTCGGCCAGCGGGGAAGGGCTGGCCGGGGGTAAGCGTGGGGCCGGGCGTCCGTTCCCTCTTGGGGTGGGGGGGTGGGGGGTAAACGTTAAGGTGGGCCTGGGGGTCTTTTGCCTTTCTTAGACCCGCGGTCTCTTCTCCCCCCCCCCGCCCCCACGCTGCATGCCCTCCGCCGAGGAATCCTCTTGTTGCAAAAAATGTGTGCTTGCGCGGATCGGGGACATTTGTGCAATAAAGGGTTACTTCTTGCTTTCTAGAGGCCGAATTTTGAAAGGGACGCCAGCCGGGGACTTAGCCCTGGAGAGTAATTTCAGTGCCGGGGCGCAGCGGTCTTTCTTGTTAACACCCCCTGCTCCCCCCTCCCCGCACACACACTGCATCTCGTCTCCGAGCCATGGGCAGAGCGCCTTTTCAGCAAAATGGGCAAGGTGGAATTAAATATATATATATATATATTAAGGCATTGTAGAGGTTTACATATATATATATATGTAAACCTCTACAAAGCTCGTCAGAGGGTAAGATTTCCAGGCAGGGTTTTTTGTCTCCTTGGAGACACTGAAGTGTTGAATTGAGGGGATTCTAAGAGGCGCTTCCCTTAGAATTTATCAAGGCAGATGATTGACTAAAAGCTTTTTTGTTCTGATCTGAAATGGATGTGGTATTTCTCCTCCTTGCAGAAAAGAGGAATTGAGAGGAGTGAGACTTCCACAGAGAAAGAGGATCCAGTGGTGTTTATGCCACTTTTTCGTTTGTGTTTACAATGCTTTGTTTCTCTTTTGTATTATTACAGATTGATTTGACTTACATCATCTGAAAGTTGGGTTCTTGGATTTCTAGGTAAACAGAAAGCTGCCCTTTGTTATTATGAAACTTCTGAGAACCGTAATTTTCTTCTTTCTCGTGCAGCTGCAACCCGTTTTCTTATTTACAACAGTTCATTTAGTGATCTTTTGAAATTACAATGGCATGGAACAAAAGTGACTTATGACCGTTTTTCACACTTATGACCCTTGCAGCATCTCCATGGTCATGTGATCAAAATTTAAATGCTTGGCAATTGAATCACGGTGTCCTGGGTCATGTGATACCCTTTTTGTGACCTTCTGACAAGCAAAGACAATGGGAAAGCCAGATTCAATTAACAGCCGTGTTACTAATTTAACAACTGCAGTGATTCACTTAACTATGGCAAGAAAGGTCATAAAATGGGGTATCACTGAACTGAACTGTTGGATAGAACCCAATGCTCCAGTCTGTTGAGATTCTTCTGAATCTTGACTTGTATCTTCCAAAGTATTGGGAATTCCCCCCAGCTTGGTGTTGTCTGTCCCCTTCTAATCCCCTTATGAAGATATTGAAGAGCAGTGGGCCCAAGACAGAACTTTGAGGAACCCCATTGCTTCCATTTCTCCTTTCTGAGGGTTATTTTATCAGCTTAGGTGTATCTCAGATTATCCTGATGGGAAGATCTGGATGAAAAGTTGCCATACCAGGATTTCTTCTTGCAATTGCTTGGGTGGAAGTATTTTCTCATCTAGGTCTAAAATAAACAACCACAAAGTAACATTAAAGTCACAACACAACACAATAAAAAGCCAAAAAAGCAGTAAAAAATATAAACAGATAAATAAACAGATGGCAACATTCATAATTCTGAGGCCTTCTTAAATAATTCTGCCTTTAATACATTCTAAACTAATAAAGCAGGGATTGGTTGGATTTTAGTGGGAAGGGGATCCAAAACACCATCCCAGAAGCAGAGAAGCAGTATCTGTGGGCTTCTGTTTTGGTTTACAAAAATAGGGAGCTACTAGAAGGATCTCCTGGGAATTACAGGTGGGGCAGATGAAAACAAATTCAGCAGAGGAACCTTTCAAATGTAGAGTTTACGCATTTTTCCAACAATTTTTAGATACGTTTTTGTGGATCCAACCTTACGTTGACCATAAAGGAGCTGCTTTCATTTTCTTCAAGAACCATTCTTTTTTTGCCAAGACCTTTACAAAACAACAGAGATTTCCTTCAGAATCTAGGCCCGTGATAGCGAACCTATGGCATGCGTGCCACAGGTGGCATGCAGAGCCTTCTCTGTGGGCACACACGCCATCACCCCAGTCCAGGCCTTCAGCTGGGTTTTATAAAACCTTTTCGCTTTAGGTCTCCGCCGCCATGTGCAAAAAAAATAAAAAAGGTTCAATCAATCAATTTCAACTTCTTGCTGGGGAAAAAAGATCTCGTAAAGTTGGAATTGATTGATTGAACTTTTCGGTCCCACCTAGTCTGCCATTACCACTGCAGCCACGCCCACCCAATTGGTCACAGCCACCCAATTGGCCACATCCACCCAATGGGCCACGCCCGCCCAGCACCCGACGATACATAAGTGGGTTTTGGGTTTCAGTTTGGGTTCTTGGTCTCTAAAAGGTTCGCCATCACTGATCCATGGATGTTAATTCTTTTGAGGGGTGGGAATGCGGAGCTTTGTTACGATTACTCCTTGTTTTGTATGCTGTGGTCCTATATATAAATTATTTAGTTTCCTACTTCCTAGTTCAGTTGACAGATCAATTTATTGGAATGGTACTCGTTAAGTAAGATCGAATATGGCCTTTTATCTACGGAGCACAGCAGGGCACTTCAAACTCTCCATTTAAGGAGACTGCTTAATATCCCTCCCCTCTCTTTTTAAACCCTTCAGTACCATGTCAGGTGGAAGAGTCCGAACGAAGAAAAAGGCCACAGCTTTAGATCAAGCACCTGACAACCTTCCATTGAGAAGTTCAGGGAGGCAGGTACTGTATGTCTTTCTAAATACATAAATGAAATGATAATCAGTTAAATCTTTATATTGAGCATACATTTGCATTTCCGATGCATCTTGCCCCCCCCCCCCTCTGTATTTGTCTATGTACCTGTTGCCTGGCTCTCCTGCTATTCAGCTGTTGGAAGAGTGAAGGCTTGTAGTAGATTCAGAACACTGAGTTCATAAGGTTGTACATTGCATGGATAGCAATGTATCCTTTGCTGCTGACCATTATCTCCCAAATAAACAGAGCGCAGAAGGCCAGGCAACAATTATGGATGGGGGGGGGGCAAGAGAAACTATTTCATCTCCACCCTTGCATTAGATATAATAAGATAGATAAGATAACCTTTATTGTCATTTTTTTTTACTGTGAGCACATTGGCACACATTAAAAATGAAATTCTGTTGCCTACTCTCAAAATTATATATCTACCCATACCCATACATAACACACATATATACTGTACACAGCAGTGTTTCTCAACCTTGACAATTTTAAGGCATGTGGACTTCAACTCCCAGAATTCCACAGCCAGCAATGCTGGCTGAGGAATTCTGGGAGTTGAAGTCCACATGCCTTAAAATTGTCAAGGTTGAGAAACACTGGTATACAGTATATATGCTATATGCATACCTATATATACCTATATATATACACACACACACACACACACACACACACATTAATTACTGTCCATTTTGAACACATAGCAGAAAGAGGAAATATTGGATTCTGTGGTGGCTTGAATGTTTGAACAGAGCTTAAGAACCTGAGACTCCTATTAAAAGTTATTTCTTCAAAGTGTGTCCGTGCATTGGAACGTAAGCATTTGAATCTTAGTGTCCCTGTTGTGTGATGCTTTTTAAAAATTAAGCTTCTTTTCAATTGGAATATTGAAGCAATTTACAGCATAAAAAGATATCTAGCCCTCATCCCCCATCATTAAAATAAATAACGTTATAATTGCAGACTGGGCTGTTTCCTATCTGGAATGCTGTCTATGGAGATTCTCAATCATCCATGTTGTGGTTGACCCAAAGATGCTTTTCAAAAGGCAACTGGACTTTCTTTCTTTTTTTCCCCTTTGAAAATATTTCACTTCTCATCCAAGAAACCAGTTCTGACTGAATGGTGGAGAACAGAAGGATTGATATGCTTTGCAGTCATCAGACTCCGAAGGGACATCTGGAATGCTGCTTTTTTGGGCTTGGCTCCTTTTCGCTCTAAGAACTAGTTATAATCTTTGGATTATTACGCTTTTTTATTATTATAATGGTGGAGAATAGAAGGATTTATATGCTTTGCAGTCATCAGACTCTGAAGGGACTTCTGGAATGCTGCTTTTTTGGGCTTGGCTCCTTTTCCCTCTAAGAACTAGTTATAATCTTTGGATTATTACGCTGCTCTTTATTATTGCTTTACTCAAAGTAAGACATGCTGTGCACACAACATTACCAAACCTTGACAGTTTTTTTTAAAAAATATTTCTTCTGTGCCCAGCTACTCATGCAGCATTTCCATACAAATACAGATGGTTGCAAATAGGGGTTCAGCAGAAATTCAGGCTATCGTCAGCATGTGCTGGAAAACAGACTGGGTGACCGCACAAGCATCTTTAGTCACAAAGTTCTCTATGTTCCTATCAGGTGAGGAAAAAGGCAGCAGAGGCAGCTGAGGAGGATGAAGAAATATCAGAGAAGAAATATCGGAAATGTGAAAAAGCGGGGTGTACTGCAACATGTCCGGTCTGCTTTGCTAGTGCTGCTGAAAGGTTTGGGTTTATTTTTTTAGTTTTATTTGTAAAATGTATTGGCCATCCATCTTACTGTGGGGTGACTTTGGGTGGCTTACTTTATTAAAAAAAAATGTACAAAACGTAGGCGATATAAATAAAATATTATAAAGATCCTAGTTACTGAGTCTTAACTGCAATGATGGGGAGGGAGGGAGGGAGTAGGATGAGAAGGGGGCAGTGTGAAGACTCTCCATTGGAGCTCCAATTCCCAGAACCAGGTTTTTAAGCTCTTGTGGCAGGTCAGGAGGTTTGGAGCTAACCTCACTCCAGGCAGCAAGATGTCCCACAGGGCAGGTGCAATGGCAGAGAAGGACTTTATCCTGGATCCTGCCAGCCAGAATACCCTGGCCGATGGGGCCCAGAGCACACCTCCTTTGCCGGCATGGGTGAGGCGGTTCAATCCCAGTGGGATGAGACGTTCTTTCAAGTAGCCTGAATCCCTGGGTGATTCTTTTTCCTCCTCCACTCCAACGCCCTCCACCCCTCCAGTCTTCTCTGGTCCTCCTATTTTCAGCGAGTGATCTTCAGTGTGATAAAACTTTATTTTGACTTTGCTTTGTTTATTCTCAATTGAGTAAGATTGGCCTCTCTTGTTTTCTTTGGGTTTCAGGAGGTTGGACTAGTTTTGCATATTCTCAACACGGGGATTTCCAACATTTTTAGTTTGGTTGCTGCTTGTAATGGAATGTGGGATAGACCTTGGGAGACAGGGCAAATAGATGCTACTTAGGCAAACAGGGAGATAAGAGACAACATAGCCTGTAGCTGGATAATGGGAAGGGCAAGACGCTCAGAAGGAACCCCCCCTAGTTTCTAAAGCTGCAAATGAGATGACAGGAGAATTGTATTTTCCGATTTGGAAGATTTTGTTCATGTAGCTTTATATTAAAGTAGAATTGGCTTATCTGGTTGTGCCTCCTGTCTCATCTATCTAGTAAGAGTGACACTGCCATCTTATAAACCCCCGGTGTTGAAATCTTGTGGTATTTTGCCAAGATAGCCAAGAAACCTTTGTTGATAAGATTTTATTGATCTTAGTTAGGACTTTTTAATTCAGGAATTTTCATTTTATTTTTCTATTCATTTTATTATTATATGCCAAGGAAAGCAAAAAAGAAAAGAAAGGGGGGGGGAAACAAAGCTTACCTGCCTTGTAACACTAAAACTAGACTGTAAAGTGTAGGTTATTATACTGCTATTGCCCAGAAATCAAATGGGAAAAGGGGGAAATAAAGCAAATAACATGCAGCAAATAACATGCAGTCCAAATTTCAAAGCAATCTATCATTTGTCATTCGTTACACAACAGTTTGACAAACATAGCTCTGTTTCTATATCTGACAAAATGTAAATGAGTTCTTCAAATCATTTTATAATTGATGATAAATGGGCATCCTTCCAGATTATAAGACAAGGATTACCTGTGCAGGAAATAGTTTCAAATCTGCCATACAGGTGTGCTATACAACTCCTGTTCATGACTTTTATTTCAAGTATGAATAGGTAGAAGTGCTTCATTGATGGTTAATGTAAAAAGCAATCTGAAACTGTAGAGCAAAGCATATCATTTTGGTAAACAGGGTTTTTAAATATTTTCTGTTTTAGATGTGCTAAAAATGGCTACACATCAAGGTGGTATCATCTGTCCTGCGGGGAACATTTCTGTAACGAATGTTTTGATCATTACTACAGAAGGTAATCTTATTTAAGAGTTTATACTCTGAAATGACTTCATTTAGTAGCACAAATCCTTTAGTCATTAGCAAGAAAATTGATAAGACTTACAACATAATCTCCTTGTGTACCACACCGAGCTTAGTGGAATCTATTCCGAGGTGAGCAAATCTTAGGATTGTTTATTATTCATAGTTCTGTGCTTTGCCCATTTGGTTTTGATTTTTTATAAAGAGATAACTGCTACATTTGTACAACGCTTAGATAGTTATATCAATCAAAACATGTTAATGATTGTGAACCAGATGTTTTGTTTCTTTCTAGAACCAGGTTGATAATATATTCAGGTCCAGATTTTGCCCACCCCTATTAAAAAAGAAAATGCATAAAATCTCAAAGAGAGCCATAACTACTATGAGAACATACCAATCTCCATCTTAAGAGTTTAGGAATTTAATGCAAGAATGTTAGCATTTTTTATCATGTGGGAATGTTAAATTCTTGGGCAATCTGCCACTTATCAGAAATTTTGGCTGTTTAGCAGGTACCGTTTCAGTGTGCCCTGGGCAACCTGAGCATCTTGTATTAGAAGATGCAATAGTAAGATATTAATAGATATTCTCTTTCAAAACTATGTCCAAAGCAGTCATAGTAAAACATATTTTAGAATTTGGTCCTTTTTGCCTCTCTGTTGCTAAGTATGTATTGAATACACATGGGAAGTGGGAGCAACTCCTGCTCCCAGCTTGCTCACAGGTGACTTTAATAGAGCTTAATTTCATTTGCAACCTTGCCCTATATAACAAATACTTGCAACTAGCACTTGTAAAGCAGGCATGTCAAACTCACGACATCATGTGACGTCGTGCGACATATCGCGACTTTCCCCCCATTGCCGGCAATGGGGGGCGCGGTTTCGGAGTGACGCATCTGGCCCGTGGGCCGGCAGTTTGACATGCCTGCCATAAAGTCTCTCCTTGAATTGGAAGAATTTGGAGATAATTGTCTGCTTTAAAGCCTGGCTGTGAAAGCAATATCAAGAATAAAAAAAAGTAGAGTTCCATAATAGATGTTTTCCATGGTGCTTCAGTTTGTATCACAGGAATCTTTCGTTCCCTTCCTTTCCCTTCCAAGCAGGTTAGGGTCATATGGACCCCAGTTACAGAGGAAAGAATCTGATCTACTAGGAAGCCCAGTTCTGCTGGCTGATGGTTAAAATTGGATACAACCCAAGATTTAGTTGCAAGAAACAAATCAAATAGTGGAATCATTGTGTAGATTTAGATAGGCATGATTGCAGGGGATATATTTCAAAGCCACCCCTGGATTAACTAACATAGTATTACCATGAAATATTTGTTAGTATACTTGTCTGCTTAGTTTTGCCTAAGCAAGTACAAATACCTGAGTGGCCTTGTTTGGGCTCACAAGCTAAGCAGGAGGCAGGCCTGGTTAATGTTTGGCTGAGAGACCCTCAATTATTGTCTAGAATGGAGAGTCAATTAAAAAAAAATGCCAGAAGGCAGCAATAGCAAAGTGTTTTTTGTATTACTACCAAGAAAATTAAATATATATTTCTGTGAACTCACCAGAAATTTGTCTTGATTTGGATTTTTTTTCCCTGCCTGCTTATGGGAAAACTCTACTGTCTACAGTCCTGTTATTTTAATGACTGTCTTTCCCCCCTTAATATTGTCCATTTAGATAAGCTACAAAAATCTTAGTCTGCTTATTCTTTATCATTTACTTTTTCTACTTTTGTTAGTCATAAAGATGGTTATGAAAAATACACCGCGTGGAAAAGGATCTGGACCAGTAATGGAAAAAGTGAACCCAGTCCTAAAGCTTTTATGGCTGATCAACAGCTTCCTTACTGGGTAACACTTTTGTTTATAATGATGTCTGTTTGTTCTCAATCTTGTTCAGAAAGATTTGTTTATAATCTTTCTGAAAAATAATCGGGCACATTTTCAATTTTCTTATTCCATGTGGTTGCAAGGTGTAAAGTAAAACTTGATGACATCTAATAAATTCTCAGTAACCCTTTCTGATACAAGTGCTATGCTGTAGATTTTGAGTTTTTATAGTGAAAAATCAAAATAGGTAACTCGTTAAATTAATTAGAACATATATTAGGGATTGGAATTAGAACATATATTAGGGATTGGATATGCACTGCCTGCTTACCTTTATTTGGTGTCACTGAAAATAATTCTAGAGTGTCTTAGAATTTAGCCATTGTAAAAAATAACATTCTGCAAAAAAAAAAAATGTTTAGAAAGATATGAGCTCCACATTGCCTTGATCTCTCAGAAGAAAGGTGAGCCACATGTATAATAAGATTATTTATGTCAACTTATCCCACTCAGTATTGCTTATACAAGCTTTAAGAGTTTCCAGCAGGGAATTTATTCAGCCCTTACTCAGGGCCTGACTCCAAGACCTCTTCATAAAAAGCATGAGATCTGCTCCTGGATATATTGTGCCTGCTTTTTATTGTTCTCTTGTTGAAGCCTCAAGTAGCTTCCAGCAATATTTCTGAAATAAATTGGCTAAATGTAATTCAGGTTATTTTGAACCTTCTGAACCAATTTCACTGCCTTTATTCATAATTCTTAAAATGTCATTTATTGACCCCGTAGGTTCAGTGTACAAAGGCGGAATGTGGGAAGTGGCGTCAGTTGACAAAGGAAATTCAACTTACCTCACAAATAGCCAAAGCATATCGCTGTGGCATGAAACTGAACAGTTCTACTAAGGTACCTTCAACATCCATTTGCACAGAATAGGCTTGGTTATTTCTACTTCTACCCATACTTGCTAACCATTCATACCAATTACTTTGCAGGAGCAGCTCATGTAGTTTGCACTGAAGTAGTAATTCCCAATTCTTTTTTGTAGCATCAGATTTCTTTTGAGGGTCTCTGGGAGATCAACAGTGTGTTACTTACAGGCACATGACTTATCTTTTAGAGGGTGTTCACAGATTAAATCAGAAATTAATTTAATTTTACAGAAGAAAAAACTGAGCGATTTTACTGTTCCTTTTGGAAATCTTGTAAATCTTGGGATGCCAAAGTCTTGTAAGTTTTTAACAACACTCACTATTAAGGCTATTGTAAGAAGTTGTTTTGGCACTTGTTCCAGGGACCATCTGTGGCACAGCAGTTGTTTTTTGAGCATAATTGTTGATCTATTTCTTGCTTGTCAAAGGCAAGTCTTTTCTCTTTAAAACTACTGTCCTTCAGAAGAAAATGCTTCCTGTGTCTTAGGGGGGAAAAACCCACCACATCCTTAGCTTTCAGTGTCAAATGCAATGTTGTGTGATGTTGGATACCAGCAATACCATTGCTTCAGTCATAGAACATTATCCACGTCTAGAAGCTGCTTCATTTACAGTACTGGTCAAAGGGAGCATTTTGTTCCAGCTGGAAAGACTCAGCCTACTTATATTTATTCCAGGTGGAAGGCTCAGACCAGTGCACCATGCCTGAGGATCTGGTAAGCAATGCCTGTGATATTAAAATTGATGGATTAATAGAAGTTGCAGGCTTAGCCATGAATACATGATGTGCTCAGACTATTTTAGAACTGATCACTTTTTGAGAATGCAGAGCTATTGAATAAAGTGATGTGGTTAGTATTTTTGTTCTATGTCTGCATGTTATTTTTGTTTTAGAAAGATCAAAGTGGAACACTTCTACCTTCCCAACAAAGTCTTAGCTCTTAATACTTTTCATATTGATGATGACCTATGTTAAGTAGCTCAACTAGTTCTAACCATCTTGAATGAATAATCTGTACACCTTAAGACATGTTTAGAGAGTTTCCTTGCACTGAGAGAATTGGCAGATGTATCTACGTATGTATGTATCTACGTATGTATGTATGTATGCATGCATGCATGCATGTTAATAGCTATGTATGAAAAGCTGGCATTGTATAGAATGTCTAGGAAACCTGTAGAATGTATGACATTTTTAGGAAAAGTATGAAATCTCTGCATTATTTTAATATATATATACTTTCCCTAGGCATTCTTTATAATACCTAGGCATTGTGCAGAATGACAAGATCTATTTAGGCAAAGTGTGAAAGGAGAGTCACGAAACTCTAACTTTAACTCTAACTCTAACCCTATATTGAAAAGATATATATGAGAATGAAAGAAGAAATGCAAAATAAAAAACAGGGCTTTCTTACTGGAAAAAAACGAGAGAGAAAGACCAGTATGGACATACTTGTTGCAACAAGGAATGGGATTTTAGTGGAAGTATTTTATATTTTGCCAGTTTGCCTTTTGGCATTGCATAGGATACCCAGGAAATGTGTGAAATAGTAAACATATCATATTTTGATATCCCACTTTTGGCATTCTATAGATTTCCTACCTAGGAAATTCTATAAAATACCTAACTTCATACATTGATGGTAACATACGTACATACAATTATATACACAAACATACATATCTGCGATTTATCTTCTAATATGAAGTTCAGTCAGGATTGAGAAGTAATACTGGGGCTGGGGAAGAAACTTGAGTTGTTGCGAAGATTTTTCTTCTTGACTTTTGCTCTAATGCTTCTTTCTAGAGAGTTGCTGAAGTTTCAGATCACTGGTGGTATTCCATGCTTATCCTTCCTCCCCTGTTGAAGGACAGTGTGGCTGCTCCATTACTGTCTGCATACTATCCAGACTGTGTGGGTATGAGTCCCTCTTGCACCAGTACTCACCGATCGGTTAGTGAATCCAGTGTGATAAAAATGGAGAACTTAAAGACTCCACCTTCCATAGCCGGTAAGCCAGAATTTCTTTTCTGTGCTCCCTTAAATACTCTGTATTTAGTATTGAATTATGACTGAGAGTAGGCATTGCCAGCTGTAGGTTCGAGCAGATTTATTTTCCCAGTGACCAGTCAACATTGCCAATGTGTGTTTTCCATTGCACTTGATCCTGTTTTTTTGACGCTATAGTTGTGAACTGGCTTTGCTGGATGATCGATTCTTTCTTGTGTTTCAGGGATGAACAAATACTTCCAGCCTTTCTATCAGCCCAACGAATGCGGTAAAGCCTTGTGTGTAAGGCCAGATGTCATGGAATTAGATGAACTCTATGAGTTTCCAGAATATTCCCGGGACCCCACCATGTACCTAGCGCTGCGAAATCTCATTCTGGCCTTGTGGTACACAAACTGCAAAGTACGTTTTATGCATTCTCAAAAGATTATCAAGTAATACCAGTTTAATATTTTGATAACTTAGTGGGACTGTGAAGCTTTTCTGTCCTGCCAGAACTCTCTCATGCCATCGTCTTCATAGTGATTGTTCGTGGGCTCTGAAACATCTTGTAAAGAAGACCAAGCTAATTCTTCTTTCTTTGTGCTTCATTCACTAGACTCAGAGGTTTTTATCTAAAGGTTTTTCACTTATTACTTTATTGATTTATTCATGAGGTTTATATGGTGGATGAGAAGCATATACGTTATTGCTTTAAAAAAGGAAAATACAGGAATGCAGAGGTACTCTTTTCTGAAACATGTGTTTTCCACTCATTTAATTCCGATAATCTCACTTTATAAACTCAGCAGGATAATTTCTTCACATGAAAGCTACACCACAACCTTTCCCAACCTGATTTCCTCCACATGTGTGGAAGCCATGATTCTTACAATTTCAAGTAATGCATTATATTTTCAAAACTTTGGAACACATCATGTCTGTAGTTGGTCTATCTCATGGCTTACGAACAGCAAGAAAGCTTTCAGTGTATCTCCAGATTAGGTTGGGCCAAAATTTTGATTCCTGGGGAAGGGAAATGAGGATTGTAAGAAGGGAAAAAATGGTGCTTTAAATCATGCACAATCTTAAGGAATTGATTTCATTTCTTGAAAACATCCAGAATCAGGCTAATTTTCCCTGCTTTATAGGTCACCCTTTCTGCTCCAAGAGTCAGAAAACATTGGTCCCATCTAGTTGGCGATGTCATTATTATGCAGCAAAACTGTTGAATGTGTCATAAGATTCTTAGTCATTATTTTTCAGAAGCATAGATGACTATAAGCCAATATTCTTTGGTTGCAAGACAGTTTGCTGCATGGGTTGAGTTGAATTTGCTTCATGACTCTTTTTTTTCTTGTTTGGGCCTTGGTTTTCTTTCCTAAATCTACAGGAACCTCTAACCCCTCAGAAATGTACTCATCACATAATTGTTCGAGGACTAGTACGCATTCGCTGTGTTCGGGAGACAGAAAGAATCCTTCATTTTATGACCAGGAAAGGTTTGATTAATACAGGAGTTTTATCAGTTAATCGAGACCAAGCCCTGCTTCCCAAAGACTACCACAATGTAAGTCTTTTAAGATTTAGTATATCGTTAAGTTGGTTACAGAATATTCTGTACAAAAACATCCTAATAAAGATTTTCAAAGTAAAAAAATACGTTTCTGGGATGTTCTTAGTTCGGGTAGTCCTCGGTTTAAAACCACAATGGAGCCCAACATTTCTTTTGCTAAGTGAGACAGTTAAGTGAGTTTTGCCCCATTTCATGACCTTTCTTTGCCACAGTTGTTAAGTGAATCACTGCAGTTGTTAAGTTAGTAACAACTAAGTGAATCTGGCTTCCCCATTGATTTTGCTTGTCAGAAGGTTGCAAAAGGTGATCACATGACCCTGGAATTTGCAACCGTCATAAATATGAATCAGTTTTCAAGTGTCTGAATTTTGATCAGGTGACCATGGAGATGCTGCAATGGTCATAAGTGTGGAAAAATGGGTCATAAGTCACTTTTACCAGTGCCATTGTAACTTCAAAAGGTCACTAAATGAACTGTTATAAGTTGAGGACTGCCTGTATTACTTCTCTAGTTGGCAATAGTTCTCTTCAATGTGAATATTATCTCTTATATTTTATACAACTTGTACGAAATCTTGTAAGGACTATTTGACTAGCTTTAGATAAATAGTATTTGTAACATTCCTGCTTTTCTTCCTTGCAGAAATCTGTAATAGTGGTTGGAGCTGGCCCAGCAGGTTTAGCAGCTGCAAGACAACTTCAAAATTTTGGAATTAAAGTAAGACCTGATCATATAAAGGAAGACATTGTAATACTGTTGTCTTCTGGTATAATTTTATTATATTCTAATCACTTGAACATGAACTTTTACGATCCAGAAAGTATTCTAGTGAATTACTCCATTGCACAGTGGGAATAGAGTTAGTATCTAGTTGCAGAGACTAAAGCATAAGATGACTTTGAAGTTATAGTGTGGTTTCATTATGTAACATAGAGTTTAGCCAGCATTTGGATATGACAGATTCAACTGTCTCCTTACAGTTTCCTTCTTTAAGAAGAATTTCATATGAGTATGTCTCTGCTTAACACTTCAAGAGCCTATGTTTAGCAATAGCACTTAGACTTATATACCGCTTCACAGTGCTTTACAGCCCTCTCTAAATGGTTTACAGAGTCAGCATATTACCCCCAACAATCTGGGTCCTCATTTTACTGACCTCGGAAGGATGAAGGGCTGAGTGAACCTTGAGCTGGTCAGAATCAAACTCCTGGCAGTCGGCAGAATTAGCCTGCAATACTGCATTCTAACCACTGCGCCACCATGGCCCACCTATTTAGGTCTCGCCTCACTTTTGTAATTATATCAAAAGCTTGCTAAACAATCCACATAATTAGATAATGCTCTTTTATCCTCTTGATGACTCTGGGGTGTTATACTAACTGCTGAAAAAAAAACCCATCGAGATTGAAGTATTTCTTACCACCTCCATTACCTTGTTTGTATATTACAGGTCCTTGTGCTTGAAGCAAAGGATAGAATTGGCGGACGAGTATGGGACGATAAGACTTTCAAGGGGATCATTGTGGGAAAAGGAGCTCAGATTGTGAATGGCTGTATCAACAATCCTATAGCACTAATGTGTGAGCAAGTGGGTTGCACTTTTGAAGATGACACATTGCAGATAACAAGCTTAGTATATATTGATCCCTGTAAATGTACATGTGATTTTGGATACATTTTACAAGGACCTTTGTGTTCCACTGAAGGGCTTGACCTGAAGGCATTCTAATTGTAGGTTTTTGGGGAAGTTTGGGAAATGTTTCTTTAGTTTTATCATATGGAAAAGAGCAAGGATTTGTCCGAAGGTTTGTACGGAGGAATAGGATATGAGGAGCTAAATACAATTCTTAAGAGCAAATAAATCATATTTTAACATTTTAGCTGGTGCTAGCAATAGCACTTAGACTTATATACAACTTAATAGTGTTTTACAGCCCTCTCTAAGCAGTTTACAGAGTCAGCATATTGCCCCCAACAATCTGGATCCTCATTTTAGTTGGAAGGTTGGAAGATTGGGTCAACCTTGAGCCGGTCAGGATCGAACTCCTGGCGGTGAGCTGAATCAGCCTGCAATATGGCATTCTAACCACTGCGACACCATGGTGCTTCTGCATCCAAAGTTTCTTCCTGCATCATGGATTTAAATTTATAATGTCACTCTTCCAGTAAACAACAGACCATTTTCAATTAATAACCCTTGTTATTTAGAATGCCTGTCCTTCATGACACATGGAACTAGGCTTATAAATATTTTATGCTAAATTAAATAATTGATTCAGAGAGTGGAAAACTCTCAAGATTTCAAAAGTTTCCTTAGTTTTTGTTTGCTACCTGTTTTGATACCAATCTGGTAACTTGTCTTTAAAACACTGATAAATATTTTGTTGCAATAGCTGTTGGTTGGGATTGTTGTGTATTAATAATACCAATGAATATTTGGTTGGCACTGAAGTTTGAATTACTCACATGCTTACACCTTTAACATTTCTTTTTCTAAAGTTGGGCATTAAAATGCACAAAATTGGAGAGAAGTGTGACTTGATCCAAGAAGGTGGAAGGATAACAGATCCTGCAATAGATAAGCGCATGGATTTTCATTTCAATTCTATCCTTGATGTTGTGGCAGATTGGAGAAAAGATAAAAGTCAACATCAAGATATTCCACTTGGAGGTAAGAAAGAATCATGAAAGAGTAAAAAAAGTGCAACAATGGCAGCAGAATATTGCATCCATAGATGTATTTGTGTGTTAGTTTGTCTAATGTATATGTTCACACAGTCACTGAATTGGGCCAGTTTGAATCCTAGCTAGATGTACCTGGTTTATTGAATTGGTTTATTGAATAAGGACAGTTTGCCAGGTTTATACAATGTACTAAGGGGGAAAAAGAGGAAAAAAACAAAATATTTGTAATGCCCAGAATACAAGCTTGGTCATGTGTTGCCAATGGTCTCTTCTTCAAACTTATTTTATTCATCATTTGCGTGTGTGAACAGCTGAAACTCAACCAATCCAGTTGTTAATAGGTTTCATTGAATTATTGCATTGCTAGGAAGATATACAACATTTAAAAGTGTAGAGTGCACCTTTATACGCGATCTGGGAGAATTGTAACAAGCAAGGCTTTTTTTGTCATAGAATGCCCAGAACGGAGTTCCGGCACCTTTTTTGGATGGAACCTTGTAGGGTAGGCAAGGCGGGTTGTATAACATGTGTGAGTTCCGGCACCTTTTTTTTCTTCAAAAAAAGCATTAACAAGTATCTTGAACTTGAAAATAAGCAAGGTTTTGTATTTATTAGGTTTGCTATGGCCTTATATTGACCAGATTAATACATGAGTGACAGTTGTCGCTGTCAGTGACCTCTCCATCTGCATGTAAAATGCTACTATAAAGTGGTCACTAGATAAAAGCAAAGATTTTTTAATTCTGGTATAAATGTCAGATTAGTGAATTTAACTCTTACTGAAATGTCTGCAATTTAAGTGTTCAAATTTATTACATTATGCCTGTAAAGTATGTATGTGTGTATGGATTTTATTTAAGTACATGTGCTAAATAGGTGCTGAAATGATGGGAAGCTGAGGTAAATGAATACTTTTACTAACTATTGAACTGTTAAAATATTTGCAGATAAAATTCAGGAAATCTATAAAGTTTTTATTCAGGAATCCGGTATCCAGTTCAATGAACTAGAGGAAAAAGTGCTCCAGTTCCATGTTAGCAATTTAGAATATGCCTGTGGCAGTAACCTCCATGAAGTGAGTGGAAATAATTTTCTTACAATGACAAAACAATATGGTTAAAATATGCATTGCCAATTGTCTTAACAATGAATCCAGATCCCTATTTTCTTATTAAGCAGACATGCTCCAAATTATAAATGTCTCCTGGCTTTAATTAATATGGGACTGATTCTAACTGAACAGTCTGAAAGAAAATTATAAAATGATTGGATGGGGCAAGTTAATGAACTAGCCACCCAGAGCTTAGTAGGCAGTAGAATCCATTTTGCATGACTACAAAATTCTGGCAGGTGAAAGTTTCATCCCTTGCAAAAAAGGGATAAAACTGCCCTTCATTGGCTACATATAAGTTACTTGGGACCCGCTGTGGGTGAAAAAGTTAAAAATGCTTTAGAGAACAGTACTGCTTGTTGGAAGGTATTTTTTTAAATCTCATGCTCAGATAAAGCTGGAAGAAGGTAACTCACTTGCAGTGTTAAATGTGCTAAGTCCTAGGCTTGCAAGAAGGGATGATATAGCTGCAGCCTGGCACAATTAGCCTTTCACATATAGGATAGTCAGGAGAATGAGGAGATTTCTTTATGTACGTGGGAAAACGAAATATGCTAGTCTGTTTCACCTTCCAAAGAGTTGAGTTGCAACTGAATGAAGAATTGTCTTTGCCACATAGGTTTCTGCACGGTCTTGGGATCATAATGAATTTTTTGCTCAGTTTGCTGGTGATCACACCTTATTGAATTCAGGATACTCAGCTATAATTGAAAAATTAGCCGAAGGCCTGGATATTCGGTTAAATGTTCCAGTAAGTATCAAAACCTGGAAGAATCGTTTTTCTTGCTTTGTCAAAGAGTATTTCATCTCACTGGTTTGAATTGTATATACACAAACTACTTGAACTTTCCAAACTGCTTGTATGGATGCTCAATTTAATATACATTTTGGAAGAAATATAAATAGGTCTTCATAGAGCCTATTTTAAATGTACACTAGACCTTTTGATAGTCTACTGCAGTGATGGCAAACCTATAATGTGTATCAAAGGTGACACACCATGATGTTTTGGGTGGGAAGTCAGTGTTCATCAACACTCTACAACTATTCTCGAAAACACACCCCATTCTTGGAATTGTCGAGGTTGCGGAGGCTGTGTAAGAATGATTGAGTGTCCGTGCAGCCTCTGAATAGTCCAGAAATTGCACGGGAGGGCCTTGCTTTCTCAAGGCCTCTGGAAATCGTTTAAGAATGGGGCATGTTTTGTGGGGTTTTCAGAGGTTGCCGAGGAGTTTTGATGCTGTATAAATATTTTACAATTTCCCTTTCATTCTTAAAAGGTCTGTAGTATTGATTACTCAGGAGAAGAGGTAAAAGTGACCACAACGGATAGAACTCTGTGGACAGCAAAAAAGGTGATCTCTCATTTTTTGGGGTTGAAGTCTAGAACAAACTGACTGGCCCATGTTTTTCAGCATTGGAGAACACTTTTATTTTGTTATTACTGTACTTTTGCCTTTGACAGCTGAAGATGGCATGTTTGATGTCATGAGATTTTCATACTGGGTGGAGATGACAGTTTTGATTCATTCCCTCCTGGGTGGAGGAGCAGGGAAGTTATATGCAATTGATGAATGTTCTTTAATCTTTTTTTAGAGCAAATATTGTGTGATCTGTGCTTTTGAGAAATGTTTTGTCAAGAAACAAAATATGCACTACAGTTCTTAAATATCTATTGTATTTCAAAATCCTGCAACTTGCCCTCACAAATATAAAGTGCCAAAACCCAGACTGGTAGGCCAACCCATTCGATGGCACTCTCCCTTTTATTTTCATGACTCTTAATTTGTTAACCGAATCCTGCATCCTCTTTCTAATCTTTGTGTGGCATTTAGAAACATCTCTTGGGATTGTGAAGTAGTGTTAGGGCGTTTGAGATTGTGCAGTTTCAGATATGGGAAATGCATGGCCTCAGTGGCACTGAGAAGCTCTCAGGTGTTCTGCCTTGGTCATCCATTAACTGAGTCTCTTTCAAAGCAGTTCTGCTCAGTTACTTCCAAATTAAAAGACTTTAGCATTAAGAATATAGGATAGCTTTCCCTAGTCTAGTGTGATGTCTGTGGACTTCAATTTCCAGTGAGCAAACTGTTGCAATCTAAGTACCAAAATCTGTGGATGCAAAGGTTAGGGAAGATCACAGGGCAATAGGAGACATTGCATGAAAATTACACAGAGAATAATTTAGAAGTAAATAATATCAATTTGACTTCCTCTTTTGGATCTGTTTTGGGTTCTGCTCTTATCAGTAGAGGGAAGATTGAATGTTATTTGGTTTTGGGGAGGGAAAGGCAGTTGAAATGCTTGCTTGTGTCCTTGAATTACTAGGAGTTGAAAGAGGGAAAAACAAACATTTCCTTGATGGATTGTGTCTCTGAATTGTTCTAAAAGAGGAAGAGAGTATTTATGGTCTTAGATAGGTGGTTTCCTACTTAACATCTTTTTCTGCATTGTTATGGCATTGTTCCTTTCTGGATTTGATCAAATTTATTGCTGGAAAAAAGTCACTGAAAGTTTTTCTTTAAAGTAGTTTTTTTTAAAGTTGGCTAAATGATTTTTTCCTGTGTTTTATTTCCCCTTTTAAACTGAGAAACAAATCTATTGAATATACTGAGTTAAATTATTTTAATGTAATGTAGGGATAGATTAATTGGTTTACGTCTAGTCAGTTTCAGTTTCACATGTATTTCCTTACAAATCCTTCTGTGCCCTTTCCTCAGTCCTGCAAATTAAAAACAAAAACCAAAGCAGCTATTTTAAAGAATATTGTTAACAAATTTCAACTCCTACTTGAATTATAAAATTGTATCTTTCTAGATTTTTAATCAAATATGTTGCTTAAACTGGACTTTTTAATTTTTATACTGAAAATTTTGAGATAGAATAATGTATAACTACCACAAGGATTCATTAGTAGCCAATTACACTATTAATTTAAAACATGGAAAAAAACATTTCAAGATATGAAATTCTGAGTATTTATTATATTATTATTTGCACATTAGCCCAGCAAAGTGTAAATTAGAAAATTTGGAAATATGGGATCCTTTAGCATTCTATTATAATATAATTAGGGCTATTTTTCTCTCAAAAGGTTCTAGTTGCTGTACCTTTAACTATTCTTCAAAAACCAGCAATTCAGTTCAAACCTGCTTTATCAGATAGAAAAATGAAAGCTATCAACAGTTTAGGAGCTGGAGTCATTGAGAAGGTAAGAGTTCGTTTTTTGTTATAAAAAGTAGAATACAAAGAGCAAATATTTGCAGGGAATGTTTTCCAATAGAAATATGTAGAGGCCAGTGAAGGTTTTCCAAGTCTATGCTGTAGAGAAATTATTATTTGAATACTGATATAGGTCTTTATACATGTATTAATATTTCTGGCAAAGGGTCCTAAAACTAATCTTGAGTTCCTGTGGCCTCCATCTTACCTTTCTTTGAAGTTATGCACTTTACGTGATCTGGCTGGACAAGCTTATTCCAGCAAAAATGGATCCCACATGTATATATTCATAATAATAAACCCAGAGTAGGAGGATACCCCTTTATTTTTCAAAATCAGTCTTATCTTGAGATTTTTTGACATTATTAGTTTGGTATAAGTTGGAGCTAAGCTAAGATTAATTCACTTCTCTATATACATTCCTAAAACGTATAAGATACTCAGTTGTTAAATATGTACTGTTCAAACTATATTTATTTAGTGATGTTAGTTTGGTTGAGAGAAAAACCTTTAAAAATAATGGCTTGATCCTATGCCCTATCATGGGAACTATGTTTACAGAAAGAGAGGGATTTTACTCCCTCCTGCTATATATTAAACTTATATAGGATGACAACCCAAGTGAACAAAAAAGTAAATACTGCTTTTTTGTTTAGATTGCACTACAGTTTCCTTACAGATTCTGGGAGAGCAAAATTCAAGGAGCTGATTACTTTGGCCATATTCCACCTAATTCAAACAAACGTGGACTCTTCAGTGTTTTCTATGACGTGGACCCACAGGTATCCAGTATCTTCCTATTCTTCAGATTTGGAAAAAAAGATTATGTTAAGAGTTACCTTTCCCCTCTGTTTTAATGTAAATTGACATTTTTCTAATATAAAATCTCACTACTTTACAGTACATTTGATGCCAAGAACATTTGACAATTTTGACTTTTATTATCTAAAATGAATGTGTTTGTGGCAAGACAAGATTTTTTTAAAATGGTACTACAATTATTCTGCACTGGCACGTGTTTTAAGTAGTTCAGTTTTATGGGCTGGCCAGCATTCATTTAGAAGTTGCTAAAGGGAGCACCAGTAGAGGAAACAATAGATGATCCTTCCTTTCTCGTTTTCAGCGTAAATGCAGTGTTCTAATGTCTGTAATTACTGGAGATGCTGTGGGAACAATAAGGAATTTAGATGACAAGGAAGTACTGCAACAGTGCATGACCGTGCTTCGGGAATTGTTTAAGGAACAGGTTGGTTTCTTTCTCGGACACAACAACATCCATTTCATACAGATGGAAAGCAGAGACTTCCCAGGACTTTTTTTTTTTTTTTTTTAAATTAGGGATGAATGGATTTATCATATGATCTGTTATTTTCTAAATGTTTGGTGTTAAATTTATTTTGTCCCACTTCTACACAGCTTCACAGTTAAAATGTTGTGTATATTTTTAGCATACTGGGGCAAAGAGCATTTCACCTAATGCACATATTTTGTCATTTTAGCATAATAAAATATAATATATATATTTTTTCTGATGTCTTAGGGCAGCAAGTGTACCATATCCAAATGGTCTTTTTGCTCTGCTTCTGAACTTTGCAATCTTTCTTCCTCATGTCATGCACCTCTACATCAGGCTATCGATCTATTTATTTCAAAATTGTCTGCACCAACTGGAAATAGTATTTAGACATTAGTCTGTATTAGCTATCTGGAGAAACTGGAAACTTAATTTGAGATGTTGTGCCTAGCACTATCATGGATGCTTAAGAAACTGAAATTTGCAGGAAATGACTGAAGGAGTGAGTGAGTGAGTGAGTGAGTGAGTGAGTGACTGAATTCACTATGTTATAATTAAGAATCACCTCAGAGCACATGATTAATGAAGTCTGCTTTGTTTAGTTATTCACAGGACAATTGTGCATTTTTATGTTTTAACAAGATGTTTAAACATTGAATATATGCTTTAAACAAGTGTCCAGATTTGGACACCAATGGTTTCATTTTATTACTATTAATTTAGCTTATCTTTGTAATTCAGGAAGTGCCAGATCCGGTCAAATATTTCATTACAAGATGGAGCAAAGACCCTTGGATCCAAATGGCATATAGTTTTGTAAAGACAAGGGGCAGCGGTGAAGCATATGATATACTTGCTGAAGACATACAGGGAAAACTCTTCTTTGCTGGAGAGGTGAAATCTCAATTACGTACATTTTTAAAAAATACAGCCTCGTTCAAATCAGAACTAAGTTTGAAAAGACTAAAAACATATTCATGCTTTGAATAGGCATTGCAGGTAGTGGAAGGATTTCTGAATTTATTATAGGTAGTCCTTGGACAATTGGGACTGGAATTACTGTTGCTCAGCGATGCAGTCATAAAAGTGCAATGTCTAGAAGAGCCTTTTCTGCTGTGGCCCCCACCTTTTGCAACATCTTGCTCCCTGAGGTGAGATCAACCGCCACTCTTCTGGTCTTCCAGAAGGGTCTTCAAACCTGGCTCTAGTTGACAGGGCCCCCAAAAGGTACACTCTAGGCTGCAGATTGTTGTTGCAGCGACAAAGATATCACCTCTGCACTGCTTGGGTCCCTGGTTTTTAGTCTGTATTTAACTCCTATTTTAAATGGTTTTTTGTATTCATATTTTTGTTGTACCGTAAGACAACCAGAGTTGGTTGGATAGTGAGATGGGCAGCATATAAATGTAATAAATAAAATGTCATGTGACTGCATTGCTTAGTGACAGCAATCTCAGGCAGAACCAGTTGTAACCGGAAGATATAGGAAGAGGTTGGAGCATGTGGATGCTGCAGGATTGGGGAGCCTGGGGGGAGACCATATGGGAGTCATGGGAGGCCATGGCAGAGCCTGGAAGGGCCAGTAGAGGCCATGAGTGTATGGGTGCAAGTGCTGTGGGTAGGAGAAGAAACTGGAGTGATTTGTAACCCGCCTTCCCCATCAAGTTCGTTTGTGGAAGGATTGCAAATGGTGATCATGTGACCATGGCTTTCTGCAGTGTCATGCTTTGAGCTGGACACCCAAGTGCTTGGCCCACAGTTGTCTGATTGCAGGGATGCTGAGATGGCCGGCATGAAAACCAGTGATATGTCCATTTTTTCCAGTATTGCAGTAACTTTGAATAATCATTGAACAAATGGACATAAGCTGAAGATTACCTGTAATAGTCTAAGCCAGTGGTTCTCAACCTGTGGGTCGGGACCCCATTTGGGGTCGATCAACCATTTCACGGGGGTCACCAAGCAAGGCTGTCCGCCATTTTTTTTCCCTTTTCTGGTGGGTGCCTTACCTCCCTTGAGCTGGGCCAGCTGGTGGTCGGCCTGCTCCGTCTCTGCCACTTGCCAGCTACGCCTCGGCCGGCGCAGGGGGCAGAACCACGCATGCGCGGTGCTCCCGGGTAGGGAAAGTCCTCGACTTACGACCGGTTGGGTCCTCGACTTACGACCGGTTGGGTCCTCGACTTACGACCGGTTTAGTCCTCGACTTATGACCGGTTTAGTCCTCGACTTACAACCGGTTGGGGTTGCGGCATTAAAAAAGTTGAGAACCACTGGTCTAAGCCATGGGTATCTATTTATGTTTGCCATAAAGTCCTTCTTTAATGTATTTCCTTCAGGGATGAACTTCCTTGTTACCTCCCTGATTATTTTCAGGAGGTTGAAGGCTTTTTTGATTACTTTGCTCTTAGAGATTTTTGTTTTTAAAGATTTGTAACACCTTCTACAGCATATTTGTAGTTCCCCCCAATTGTTTAGTTGAAATGTTGTAGATCTACTTTTAGAGTTTTCTGCTTGATTTCTGCTTTGATAAACAAGTTACATAAATTTCTATAAAACATCTCTAGTTGTAGATTAAGTGGATCTTTTGTAAGGAAAACCTTTTCTTTGGGGATGGCATATTGTGTATTTTAAGAATTCTGTGGTTAATTATATTTCCCTCAAAATATATATTCTGAAACTTTTTTTGTTTTAAACAGGCCACAAATCGGCACTTTCCGCAAACAGTTACAGGAGCCTACTTGAGCGGGGTTCGAGAAGCAAGCAAAATATCAGCATTTTGAATACTAGAGTTTACATTTTAAAACAAATTTTAACTCCACATGGTGCTCAAATTTGTGAAAACAAAAGACGGTTTTAAGCTACTTCATTGTTTATGCCTTGAAGATGCACTTCAGTTTTATCAGAAAAGCTTGTAACAGTATCATTGCTTCTGAGCATTGCTGGCAGCTAGACAAGCTTATTCATCCCTTATTTTTTCACCTGTATTAGGAAAGGTAGAACTGTAATAAACCTTAAATAGTGGTAGATGGACTGTCAAGTAGCTCATAAGTTGAATGTTTCTTCAAACGGATAGTAGGTTTCTCCAATCAAGTCTAGGGTGGGAAAAAAAACCTCTTAAGAAATGGTTATAAATATAAACATGGAGGCCTTTGGTACCATTCAGTTATATATTATGCATAAACAATCATAACATTTATTATTGACCTGCAAAACATGACATAAAAACAACTGTGTGAAGCTTAGTATTTGCTGATCATGTAAATGGACTAACAAAAATATGTGGACATTTCCTTTCTGTCCAGTTACAGTTTAGATAATCAGAACTCTAATTAAGGAAGTGTAATGGAAATAGGCAACTCTGACAACTTTTTTTGGCTTAAAATTGGAGTTTTTGAAAAGTTAAATGATGTGACATCTCCCAGAAGAAAACAAATTTAAGATGATGTAATAACATATTATGTTGTACAGTGACAATTTCAGCATAAATTGCCAACATAAATATCTGTTATTTTTCAAAAACATCCTGTAAACGTATTTAAAAAATATTTTCTAAATATATAATGGAAAGGCTTGCCTCCTGGAATTGTGACTGTTCCATTGCTGGATATTTTCAAGAAAAGATTACTCAATCATTCGTCCAAGGTGATATAAGGACTCCTGCCATGGGCAGGGGGTTGGACTAGAACAGGGCTTTTCAACCGGTGGTACGAGTACCACCTGTGGTACATTGGCACGTGGCAGGTGGTACGTGGCCCTGCCCAGCCCAGTGGGAGAGGGAGCAAGCCAAAGCGGCGCATCACAGGACTTGCCGTGAGGGAGTCTTCAGGAACTGCAGGGCTGCTGGGCGAGGCAAATGCCCCAGGATCAGCACTTCTGGCACACCCGGAAGAGAAAGGAGGAGGAGGGGTGGAGACAGGAAGGGATATAAAAGGTGGCAGTTTGGGCGGGAGAGGGAGAGAAAAAAAAGGCGCAGTCTTGGGAGGAGGAAGAGTCAGCTGGAGCTGCACTGAAGAGAAAAGGAGGAGGAAGAGGAGCAAGAGAGGAGAGGACAAAAAACAGGCAGGGCACGCACACAGGTGGCAGCGAAAAACAGGTAAGAAATGCAGCTGGGGAAGGGTCACGGCATGAGAATCCACGTTACCTGCGCCATGCCACTCAGCCCTGCCCCCAGCCTGCCCAATTTCGGCAGGTAGCGGCGCGCTCCTCACTGCGTGAAGAGGCTGGGCCAGCCTTCCTCTCTCCCTCCCTTCCCTCTTTGTCCCTTCCCTCCCTCCGTGCCCAGGAAGGGACAAGGGGAGGGGGACAGGCTGCCAGTGCCAATGGCTTGAAAGGCCACTGTAAATTGCTAGACAAGAGCCACACAGCGTTAAGAGCAGAGTGGCGGGAAGATATTTGTAATGAGGGAGAAAAACAGGCACCCCTGAAGGAGATCAGCAAATGGTCCTCGCCCTCTTCACACACTTGTGGACTCCGGGGGAGGGGATGCTGTGAGAATCCACGTTACCTGCGCTACGCCGCCCAGACCCCAGCCTGGTTTCGGCAGGCAGCCGCGCGGTCTTCTCACTGCATGGAGCGGCCTGGTGAGGTGAACCGGCGACATACTGAACCTGCCTGTGGGGGTGAAAGGGAAGCGCTGAGAATGCAGTCAGCCTGCATGGCAAAAGTCACCTGGGACAGGCGCCAGGCGCATGCGCTTGCCTCTGCCTGTGCGCACACAGGCAGGTTCATGTCGCCGGTTCACCTTGGCAGGCCGCTCCATGCGGTGAGACCACTGCGCAGCTGCCTGCCAAAACCAGGCTGGGGTCTGGGCGGCATAATGCAGGTAACGTGGACTCTCATGCCGCTCGCGGTGTCCCCTCCCCCGGAGTCCACAGGTGTGTGAAGAGGGCGAGGACCATTTGCTGATCTCCTTCAGGGGTGCCTGTTTTTCTCCCTCATTACAAATATCTTCCCGCCACTCTGCTCTTAATGCTGTGTGGCTCTTGTCCAGCAATTTACAGTGGCCTTTCAAGCCATTGGCACTGGCAGCCTGTCCCCCTCCCCTTGTCCCTTCCTGGGCACGGAGGGAGGGAAGGAAGGTAGGTAGGAAGGAAAGGACAGGACAATGAGGGAGGAAGCGAAGGGACAATGGGAGGGAGAGAAGGCGCCTACCCCAGTCCCAACCCCCTCCACCAGAGACCCATGGATCCCCCCCAGCCCCGCCCACCCCCCACAGGCGCCCCACAACCTGAGTGATGAGCTGGCCACACCCCCCCGGCCATTGACTTGGCTTGTCAAAAAGTTGCAAAAGGTGATCACATGACCCTGGGACACTGACTGTCGTTAAGTATGAATCAGTTGCCAAGCATCCAAATGTAAATCACATGACCCTGGGGATGCTGCAGCTGTCATGAGTGTGAAAAATGGTCATAAGTCACTTTTTTCAGTGCTGTTGTAACTTTGAACAGTCACTAAGCAAATTTTTGTAAGTCGAGGACTACCTGTACTTTATCATTTTTTTCGGGTTTTTTTTGGGGGGTGGTGTCAAATTTTTGACACCTTGCTAGGCGACGGGTGGTACTCGGATATTGCCTTATCCTAAAAGTGGTACAATGGGTGAAAAGGTTGAAAAGCCCTGGACTAGAAGACCTTCAGGAGCCTTTCTAACCCTGTGATTCTATGAAGATCTGAAGAATAACTGGATTTATACAGTAGAATTGGAAAATAATTACTGTTTTAAAATAGCAACAATTTTAATATTGTATATTTTACTAAATTAAATAGCCAGACTATAATAATGAAAACATGTATATAAAGAAAAACAAAATAAACATAATTTGTGGAATTTTTTTCTCATCTAAAATGCTCAGATTGTATGAATGTTTATCTAAAGCAGTTTGTTTTGTTTACCTAAACTTATTTTCTTTAGTACTTATTAATCCTTTTATGTGAAATTTTTAACAAATAACAAATTGTATTAGGCAATAAGGGAAACATGTCTTAAACCCAGATGATATAATATGGAGTATTTACATACTGAGGAATAGGCATCTGTAAGTATTTTATCATCATCAATGTGGAAATTCTACTTTAAATATTGAATCACTTTATAAATTGCTTTTACAATAAAGATCAGATATGAACATTATTTTTTGACATTTATTTAAATGAGCTAAAATGTTCAGGAAAAAATCCCAAAGATTTTAATTGTGATGTTTATTTTGAAACTTGCTCATTTACTTACATATAGCAACTTATGTCTTGTAAAACACTTTGAAGTATTTACTATTGATCATGATATGTAATGTAAAGTGACTTAATAGCAATACAGTAACTGAAAAAATGCTCATCTGTTTATAATACAGGTAGTGTTTGACTTACAACAGGGGTCTTCAAACTCGTCCCTTTTATGACTCGTGGACTTGAACTCCCTGGCTGAGGAATTCTGGGAGTTGAAGTCCATGAGTCATAAAAGGGACGAGTTTGAAGACCTCTGACTTACAACCACAATTGTATCCAAAATTTCTGTTGCTAAGCAAGACATTTGTTAAGTAAGTTTTGCCCCATTTTATGAACTTTCTTGCCAGCTGTTAAGTGACTCACTGAAGTTAATGATATGGTTAAGGGAATCTTGTTTCCCCATTGACCTTGCTTGTTAGGCGGTTGCAAAAGGGATCACATGACCCCAGGACACTGCAATCGTCATAAATACATGCCAGTTGCCAATCGTCTGAATTTTGGTCACGTGACCGTGGGGATGGTGCAGCATTCATTAGTGTGGAAAAAAGTAATAAGTCACTTTTTTCAATCCTGTTGTAATTTTGAATGGTCACCAAATGAATGGTTGCAAGTTAAGGATTACCTGTACAGTCTATGTATATAACACATGTGACTTTGTACCTCTTCTCCGCTTAGGCTGTTTTGAAAAAAGAAATAATACAAGAAGTCGGTCAGCTTCTTAGGTATTTAAAGAAAAAAATGCCTGCAATAATTCATAAAAATAGAAGACTAAAGACTAGGGAGAGCTTGAAAAGAGTTGGATATAGTGGTACTTAGGCATACTGGCATAACCATAAGGGTAGGGTAGCTTTCATTTGTTTTTTTATTTAAGTATAATTTACTTGCAACTCCAAACTGAGCATTTATAATTGTTTACTGACCAAACAGACAAAGTAGGATTTTTGTTTTCCTTAGAATGACATACTTAAAAGCCAAGATTATAAATCAATTTGAAGTCCTGATTTTGATTAATCCTATATATTATACATGGGGTCTATTTGCATAACTAGTTTGTTTAAAAAAACGTATGTCAGCATTGTTAATATATACAGGTAAAAGCTACCAACAAGTAAAGGACATAACTGAGAAATAGAATAAGAGTCTAATGCAGTGGTGGCGAACCTATGGCACGTGTGCCAGAGGTGGCACTCAGAGCCCTCTCTATGGGCACTTGCGCCATGCCCCGGAGATGGCAACCGTCCCTCTTCAACCAGCCGCCCGCTAATTCGCCAAGGTCCCACATGGCTGGATGCATCCCAGCACCCATGCACTCACTGGCCTCTGTGTGCAGGGGCTTATGGTGTCAGGCAGCCGCCGCCCCGGCCCCTGCCTCACCTTGCCCTGTGACAATGGCACCCCCGCCCTGCCTTGCCTCACCCCGTAGGACGAGCCTCTTGCCCACACCACCTGCCAGAGACCCCCTGGATCTCCCCCAACCCTGCCCGGCCCCCACAGGCGTCCCTCCCCACGAGCAACATCGAGGTAATCACGGCCACCTTGACCACACCCACCCAATCTGCCATGACCACCACAGCCACGCCCACCCAGTGGGCCATGCCCACCTGGCACCCGACGATAAATAAATGGGTTTTGGGTTGCAGTTTGGGCACTCGGTCTCTAAAAGGTTCGCCATCACTGGTCTAATGAGTTCCTGTGGCAGTTCACGGTTCCTTAGAAATATTTGGAGAATTAATCATTACATTTTTTATTCTTTACAATAATTATTGCTTAGGAAAATGTATACTCATACAAAAGTAAGGTTTCTTGAAATTTTGCTTCATTTAACATAAACAAGGAATAGTTTGTTTGGACACACACAAGCACCTTTGATTCTGTATCAAGTTTTACTGTACATGTATTAAAATATCAGTGTACATTTTCCTTAAAGACATTTATTGAATAAAAAACTGTTACACTCAGCTTAATAAAAATGACTGCATGCAAAGAAAGTGGTAAAAATGATAGAGGTCAATCAATTAACAATATTTTGGAATATAGATCTATGATTCCCTAACTACATATTAGTATATTATTTAAAACCTGCAATCATTTTAATCAATACAGTCATGGAGAAATTAGTTATACTTGATTTCACTTTATGACACATTTATTTGGCATTTGCTAGAACTTTTAACACATGATCATCTGACTCGTTAAAGGATTTTTGTGAACAGGTACTTCATTCCGGAATGGAATAAAAATTTCATGAACAATTATTTGTAAAATTGAGATTTTAATTTAGGAGTATCATACTAAGCAGGAGCCACTTAAATTTAATGTATTTAAGTATGCATACTCTCAATTACAGATTCTGAGAGTTCAAAATAAGGATGCAGTTTTGCAAGAATACTAAACTGTTTAACTGACACCAGATAAATGGTCAATATTCTACTCTGAAATATTAAAAGGGAGATTTTTATTACTACCCACCTTGGAAAAAACATTTTAGAAATCAAAATCATTTTTTTATGAATTAACAATATAGGATATTGCATTAAGTCTTTAGAGGTATAATCCTCTGCACTCAGTTAAAGACTGAAAAATGAGTGAAAATTAAATTTCTTCCAAAAACAAATGTGTTATCTTTTGTATGGTGATTATATTTACTTCCTACTTAATCACAACTTGATTCATAAACACTGATACTGGTCATAAATCATTTAAAACACATTTTTCTTTCTTAACTTGGTTTTAAGCAAAGAAATCTGAAGCTTATATACAAAAGCTTTTAAAAGTACAAAAATAATATCTATTTGTGATTGATCATGCTTTACAATTTTCAGCTGTATACACATGCAAGAGAGTAAAACAGCAGCACTCCTAGTCAGGGCATGTGACCAGCTCCTGATAGAAAATGGGGGTGTATTCAAAATAAATGCCCAATGCTGCAGTATTTAACAGTCTCTGCATGTGTATGCATTAATACAACAGCTTTCATATTGTTCTCTTAAAAAAATCTCTACATTTTACACTAAGACTTACAATAGCTATATGACTACTTTTACAAAGAAATATCATAATGTACAAAGTAAAAGTAGGGGACATGTATTATCATGCAAAATTTAGGAATTATATTAAACTCATTTTTTAAAAAGTTGGTAAATCCCATCAACACTCAGAACATTAAGCCAATAGTCATCTCCGACTAATACTAATACCAAAAGAGCAAAACAAAAATCAGAACAAAAATAATGAAGTTTACATTTTGCTGGTATTTGTAAAATATTTAAATCCAGGAGAACAAGACTGTAGCCTTCATTTTCTTCCCATTAGATCATGAAATGAGCTAAAAAGAAAAGAAAATATTTCATCTTCTATATAAATTCATCTTTCCATGAACACTTTGCTCAGGCTGAAATTTTAACATCTTACTTTAGAGAAAGTTCCCAGAAAATCAACAGGATTTTCAAGTAAATATTAACATTTTTGCTATATTATTATATATCTATAGCATAAGATTAATAAGTGATTAAACAAACATTAAAGCAAGATTACCAAGATGCAATTAAGCACAGAGATAAATAAAAGTTGGGTCTGGTTTCAGTAACTGAGTTTGACAGTTAAACGTTTACCACTCAGTTTTTAAGATTTCTAAAATTTAAATAAATTTATTTACAAAGCCTATCTCAGTGAAGTAAGGCATATATTAGAATTGAAATCTAACATATGATATCTCATTGATCAAGTATTTACCTCTTTCACTGTCTTTTTGATGAATTCTTTTCTGTCAGATAAGTCATAACTGGGATAGTTTTTATATACCTGTAATGATCAATTTAGAATAAGTGTAATCAGTAAAATGGAATGAACCTACTTATGATGGGAAAAGAGGAGGATTTTCTTTTAAGAACTATTTCCTTCAGTATTTTCCTTATTAAGCTATTTGCACTAAGGAAATTACACAATAAGAAGTATTCATGTTCCCAACTATTATATAATATATAATAATAATAAAGTTGGAAGGGACCTTGAAGGACTAGATGACCTTCAAGGTCCCTTCCAACTTTACTACTACTACTACTACAAAACTGAGGAAAACTAGTACTGACTTGCACTCCATTCTACAGTTAATCTTTTCCAGCTCTCATCTTCACATATGGAAAAGAGAAAACTAAGCTAAATATTTACCCTGAAGGTTTACTCTTGTTTGGTTTGATAAAGACATTTAAGAATAGATTAATGTTCCCTATAACTTGGAAAGGCAGGGCTCATATGACCTAGATATTTATCTTTTAAATGCTGTGCTGCTGGACTCCTTATGCTTCTGTCCTATAGCTGATCCTGAGATAGCACAAACCAAAGGAGTCCATCAAACAAAAAGGAGCAGGTATGTGTGTGTTAACACATGACATTGTTGCCAGAAATTGGGCCAATTACTCCTGTGTCCAATCTAACACAGAAGCTAACTGCTGCAGAGGCAGAATAAAGGAAGATTTCTGTGTATATTGCTTGAGATCTCATTAAAAATAGATTTATTTATTTATATTAAAAAAAACCTCAACATATATTACAGAAGAGCTATGAAAGAGAAAATATACAAATCAATACTGAAAGTGTCAAATTAGGACTGGAAGGCTCATATTTAGAATTCTGTTCCATTATGATTCTCATTAGTGACCATGGGCCTATCAGTATATCTCACCACAGAACCCTACTTTTTTCTATACAATTCATGTGTTGTTGATGGCCAAGTAGGCAAAACACAAGTACAGGCCTTTTTATCATGCATGCTGCATTCTCTTTTGTACTATATACTATATTTTCTTTTATGCAGGGTAGTCTGTAATATGTAATAAAGTTTGGTTGACTAATTATATTTCAGCACCTCACTGGGCTGATTTCAAGCATTAAAGGGAGGGCAAGGAAGAAGGAGACTTTATATCCCTGCTGCAAAGGCAAAACTACAGAAATATATGGATCTTTATTCTTAATCCTGAAGTCTAAATACATACAGTAAATAGTATACAAAATAAATGTCAAATGTATACCTCTTTACAAATTTGTTTCATAGTAACTTCCTCCAAATTTGCATCAGCAAGTAGTTTCTTCACAGTTTCTTTCAATTCTTCATTTGTGGGTGGCTTTTTCAATTTTTTAATTAAAGGCTCGTCATCTGAACTATTCTCAGATTCACTTTCTAAATGAAAAATATTTTGTTAAAATGCAGATAACTTTTTTCTTCCCACCAGTCAAATTTAATTTTGAATGAAATTGCAAATTAGTTCATATTAAGGAAAACTTTACGTACTGGGATTTTTCAACGAGAAACAATCAAACAGTAAAAGATATCTTTAGATTTCTTTTCTCCTGTCTCATACCCTCCAACTTTACTATTTCTCAACCAGTCATCTCTGGGTTCTTTTCACCCACTATACTGTAGATGGGAAAGGATATTCAAGATCATGTTTGATCTCTAATATGGTTGATTCCTCTGAAAAACAATTCCTCCTAACCTGATAGGAACAAATTCAAAATTGCTCTAGTTTCCATCCAATAGCTATAAACCATGTGATTGAAGATGTTTAATAAAAACCAAGTTCAGTATTTCCAATTGGCCTACCAGGACATTTCCTTTTGGTCCCAACAACCAAAATGAACATTAAAAGCCATGAAATAGTACAAAATATTTTGAGAAATTAAAGTGGCCTTGCTCCTCAAAAAATATACATAATTTGAAATTAGTTTTTTGTCAGCTTATAATAACTTAGATTTTATGAATGGTGGACTTACCTTTTTTGGAAGAATTTTGACTCTTCTTGGTTGTACTGCTATCTGCTTTCTTAACATTAGCATTTTTTGAACCCTTTTTGCTTTTTGAAGCTACTTTTTGTTTGGGTTTTTCTTTCTTTGTTGTTTTTTTAGGTCGCTGTGAAGTAGGTAGAAAGCATAGTAAAATTTAGTTCAATATCAGTTTTAAATATGCTGAACTAATGCAAATTTAATGCTAAAGAAATAAAATAAAAATGTAACCCATTTAAACTCTCTCTATATGCTTTACCTGTCCAATATCTGTGGCTTGTTAAAACAGGCGTTTCTATTTTTTTTTAGTATGCAAAAAGATACATTATAGAACAGTGATGGCGAACCTTTTAGAGACCGAGTGCCCAAACTGCAACCCAAAACCCACTTATTTATCGCAAAGTGCCAGGGCTGCATTAGCATTGTGGGGGCGTCAGGGGAGGTGTGGGGGCCTGGCCCACTGGGTGGGCGTGGCTGCAGTGGTCACGGCAGACTGGGTGAGCGTGGCCAGGGCCAGTCCCTCGCCATCTCCAGGGCGTCCCCTTGGGGCCGCCGCTTGCTCGCTCACTTCCTGCCCCGACACTTCCAAATGCCACGTGCTCACTACTCTGGCGAACTCTGCTGGGACAACGGTGCGCGTGCCCACAGAGAGGGCTCTGAGTGCCGCCTCTGGCACGCGTGCCATAGGTTCGCCACCACTGTTATAGAACAAGCAGAGTTGTACCTAGACATCTGATACATAGATAATTTTGTCCTTAAAATAACAATGTTATAACATTATAAACTGCCATTTATAACTGCCATTATTCAGCAATTCTTTTAAGAATCATTTATAATATTAATATATCTTAAATGCGATAAATTTAAGGTATTTTGGGACTATCTGTAACTAACTGATCCCTTGCTGTTGCCATTTAACTTAATTTACAGATGAGAGTATAATTCTTCTTTAGCACATATTATTTGTACCAAGGTTTTTTCCTCTTCTTCACTTTCTTTATCTTCCTCAGATGATTCATCTTTCCTTTTCTTTTCATCATCCTCACTACTAGATTCATCTGTCAGGATTTCAGGACATTTGGTGCGTTTGGCTTTCCGTGCTGTTCCAGAGCTACTACGTTCTTTTTTACCGCCTTTTTTGGATGTTCTCTTGGATTTTGGCAATGGCTATTAAATATTGAAAATGAAGTAATTTTAAAAAAACCAACCAAAGTAGTTTCATAATCTATACATACCATAGGAAATACTGCAACTTAACTAACTTTGATGATTGTTCCTATTTTAGAATTTTTTGAGGGGAAAATAGTTTTATAGGATTATAGGTTTACTTTAAGTGAATCAACATTTTATGACTTTCTGAATTGTTTTGTGTTAACTTTAGTTTTCAATACATTTTATTTATTTTATGTTTTCATAGTTTTATTATCCTCAACTTATTTTTGCTTTTGTCTGTTAACCTCCTAATTCATTTTGTATGGAAAGTCATGCTATAAATCAGATAATAAATATATATTTTTTAAAAAAAGAACTGAGTAAGAATTTAGCCCCCATTCAGAGTAAATATTGAATGTTACATATCAGTGACCGTTTTGATACATTTTTGGGAAGTGCTCTGTAAGTGGGCAGTAACTCCAAGAAAGTTGGTTCCACAGAAATTCAGCAGAAGATTCTAAAAAGCAGAGTTTAAGGGTTTTTATTCCCTGCTTGAAGAGGATTATTTCTTTACAATTTGCATTCAGTCATTGGTCTCATGGATTCTGGGGATCTGAGACACTGACTTTCTATTATCTATATTTCTATTATCTATAGAGATTAGGAAAGATTGAAGAGGTAAGGAGAATACAGTTTTATAAAATTAATATTACAGAAAAAATCTTAAAAATACTTTATGAACTATAGTTTTGTTCTAATTGGCTACTTCAATTCACATCTATTTTCTGTTTTTTAAAAAGGGAAAAAATAAAGAAATAACCTAATAATTTGAAAAATAAGCCCCACTAAAATGTTTTATTTTCAAGGCATGTTAGTGCAACTCTAAGATCTTCACATGCCCTCAATATTTATATGACTTTCCACTCATGCACTACTATAGCTTATCAGTTTGTTGCATCTGCTTTCAGAAAATGCGACCCTACAAATATATCTAAAATAAACAGTCATTGAAAAGGTTGCAAATCATATACTTCTATTGTTAATAGAATCATGAAGACATAATCAACCCATTCAAATAAGCATTTGTAGATGCAGGGCAACTCTTGAAAGTAACAATTTTTAGTAACCTTACTGAGGCTAAAAAGGCATTTGATTTGTTGTTGAAAGTTACTATAGATAAACTTTAGTATCAATCTCAAATATCTCACCCGTATAATTGTGTCCTAAGCCATGGCACATGGGTATGCATATAATAAATAAAGCATTAGTGTAATTTTGTGCTAACAGCAAGGCTCAGGAGAAACAGCTGTAAAAAACCAAGCACAACATCCTATCTTTTTTGTTATAGGGAGCAATATTAATATCTTCAAATTATGTCTTAAGCCCCATTTTAGATTAGATTAAAACAATGATTTATGAATAGCTCTCACCTTGCCTGAAGGTTTTGGATGCATTAGGAAATTTAAAATTCTTGCTAGCAGTTCACTGTTAACTCCTGATCTTTCCAAATCAAGAACTTCACATATGCTTTTTAGCATTGCATTTCTGTATCTGTAAAGAAACACACTTTATTAAACATGTTTTAAAAGTATTTACTAAATATGTAAAACAAATAGACAATGTATTAAATATAGGTAATATAAAAATGTGGGATATATATATATATATGTGTGTGTGTGTGTGTGTGTGTGTGTGTTTGTGTGCATGCACAAGCACAAGTACATGCTTATGCACTATACACACACGCATACAAAATCCTTGGTAGTCCAATATATTTAAAATGCAGAAAGGCCTCCAAGCCCTTTCAAACTTTAATCAACACTCCTAGGTTAATATGTTTTATGCTTCTCTTTTAGCCCCCATACAACATATCCAAATCACTCACATGAATCAAGTATTCTTAAAATTAGTGAAAATGCAAATATTAACAATTGTTCTGTTACATGCTCTATACATGAAGTAAAATTGCACAAAAAGTTCTCTTAAACATAAATACCAATACAACTTGAAAACTATGGAAGACCCTACAGTTAATACAAATAACTAGAGAAAACATTAAAATTTGACAGTAGAGGACCATTAATATTTCTTCCAAAATAAAAGTTGGTCTTTCAGCAAATCCTTAAATATGAATATGATTATATTGCTAAATTCCTAAGCTAAAATTTCCAAAGCAACAAAGGCAACTAATATATTGACTGGATTGCATTTTAAATGTACAGATGTAAAAACCTATTCTCAAAGCTACACTGCTGTAAACACTATCAGCAACAATGTAATGTTTTAGTATAATTTAAGGTAATGATTAAGTTTTGTTTATTTTTTTAAACATAAGCTATGTTAGAGAATAATGTCAAATTATATTACATTATATTCACAGATATGATTTGAAATATTTGTACAGGGACGTTACTAATTGAATTTTGTTCTGGGAATGCACATTTGGCTCCAAATATTTTGAACATTGATTATATTGCTTAAACATGTTAAAGTCTCACTTTTTCAGCATTTCTTCCTTTTTCTTGTATTGATCACTTCCTTTTTCAAATGGAAAGCCACTGAACTGTCCTACATTCTTTTTCAATGAAGCAACCTAAAAAAGAATACAGTCGGTCAGTATAAAATAATATTGCAATGTTCTTTATTTTATCTAATTGTCAAAATATCGAAGTACAAATGTATAGCCTTAAAATCAGACAGTAAAACTGTCATGTCAGCTTTGACTAAGTTCTAAATATATAACAATGAAACTATAGATAGTCCTTGATATACAATCATAATGGATTCTGCCCATTAAGAGGAGCTAATTCTGGCTGCACAAGACCAAGCCTTAAGAAGAAATGCACACAAAGAGACAGAACTGAAAAAAGCAACAGATAGCAAACGCTGCCTCTGCAAAGAAGCTGAAGAAATGGTGAGCCACCCAGTTAGTTGTTGCAAAATCGCACAGACTGAACTACAAATGATATGACAAAGTAGCAACAATGATGCATTGGAAGATCTCCAAGAAATACCAAGAATTGTTAGGACCATAAAAGAAACAATGTAATAGAAAATAAAAAAGTTAAACTGCTCTTAAGAAGTTAAAGTGCTCTGGCAGACAAGCATCTACCACATAACCATTGTTGATAAGAAAGACAAAAATGTCTGGATAATGCACATGGCATGCCTGGTCACAGTAGAATAGGAGAGAAAGAACTGGAGAAAATAACAGAATACAAACATCTGCAAATAGAAATAACATGACTGTGGCAAAAGAAAGCAAATATAGTAACAGAATAGGCACCTTGGGGGCAGTACCAAAAATCTGGATCACTTGAACAGAGCAGCATCAGCATTGACAAAATCACCACCAGCCAATTGCAAAAGGCAGAACAGCTTATATCTTGTCACAATACCTTTAACCTTTAATATCATCAAATAACATCTGCCTATCCTTGGGAAGGAGTTGATAGGTGGACAAAAACATCTGGCTGTGTGACGAACCGTAATAATAAAAAACATTTGGGATTTGTTACAAAAACTGAATTGAACTTTGACCCAGCACTAGCAGATCCCATATTTATCAACATGACAAACAGAAAAATATTTTTATAAATAGAAAAATATCTATTTGAAAGCCTAGAGATAAGGATTCAAGGAAACCTGTAGCCAATTTTACATTGCCAATAGGTATGAACACTTACTTTTCTTGAATAGCAATTTCTTTTGCAATTATTATTTGTTTTGGAAATGAAAGAAAACTGAGATCAAATACAGATGGTCCTCGACTTATCACAATGAAGCCCACAATTTCAGTCATAAGTTATTGCCGTCATAGGTTGAAGCACACATAATTGGAGCTAATTTTATGACCATTTTTACAATGATTGTAAAGCTGGTAACTGCAGTCATTAAGCAAATCATGTGGTCATTAAGAGAATCCAGCACATCCAGTGGGATTTTTTTTTGTGCCATTTTCTGCTGGAAAATATTGAAAATCACGGTCACACAACTGGACAACTCTGCAACCAGTCATGTATGTGAGCCAGTTGCAAAGCACCCAAAATGTGATCAAAATAAACATGGGGGTGTGGGTGCAGCAGTTATAACTTTGAGAATGGGTCGTAAGTAGCTTTTTTGAAGTCCATCATAACTTTAAATGGTTGTTGAGTGACCTATTGAAAGTCAAGGATTACTGGTAACCAAAAGATAAACAATGTAATTCTAAGAAGCATAAATAAAATATGTGTCTCACCAGAAAGAGGCTCACCTGGTATTTACCCGGACTAGGGCCTTTATGGTAATGCCTCCAATACTCTTGGAATTCCCTCCACTTAATCTGCCTTTACTGTGGTGTCTGAGGAATTTACTTTTATAGCTTAGCATTTCCCCTATAGAAGACTTGTTTTCAATCTGCTTTTAAGACTGATGCCATGTTTTTATGAGCCAATTTCTAATAGTTTTAACTATTTATGGTTTTGTTATTTTGTTTACATTGTTTATTATGTTTTCAATTTTGGATGTGACTGGACTTTACTGGGTTATATTGCAAATTGGTATAGACTTCCACTGATAACATGCAGCATATAAATGTGCTCAATCTAGGAAATGGTGTGATTTCATATAATCATCATATATAAACTTAAAACAGTATAAATGAAAAGCATGTTATCAGATTTCTTACTGTGCCTGGTCTGTTGTAAAGAAGTTTGTGCAAATTTCGAAGTTCATCAGTTTTCTTCTTGCTTAAAAAGTATTGTATTCTTTCGATTTCACAAAGTTTTTGACCCTTTCCTGAAAAAGCAAACATGTTATAATAATCAAAGTTACACTTTTTAGCCAATAGGTTATTTGCTTTAACCAAAGCCCATCACCATATAAAGGATAAAGAATAGTTAAAATTCAACAACCAAGGCTCCTAAGTTTACTAAAAACAATCAATGAAGTTATCTTGTATGCTGACAAGCAATAAAACCTTGTAATAATATTTGGGAACAGTCTCTTAAAAGTTTATCAGGATTTATCGCAATACTGCTTCAAAATAAACATTAAAAATGTCCCAAATATCTAAACATAGGATAGTTTAGAAAATTACAAGTGTGATCTTCCATACTATATACACAAAGGTTTTCTCTTTAATTAATACTTGTTTGACTTCAAACAAAGAAAAGCATAATATGCAAAATAAATAGCTTGCCTGGTGTAATTGTAAAAGGTTCCTTCTGTAATGAAGACACCTGCATTGTCAATCTTTCTACTTTCTTCTTCTCTCGCTTTCCTTCAACAATGAGGCTCTTTTCTGAAAGACAATTGATACTTTCATGAAGTCAGGAAAGTGGTTGAAATTACTGCACACAATAGACAAAAATAAAGTAATATGTGGGCTTAAGAGTATATGTGTCACTTGAAAAAGCATTCGTACTGGCAAATTAAGAGTCAGATGTACTGAAGCTCAAATAATTTAGCAACTGATTCACCGAATAGAATAGAACAGAACAGAATGTCCTATAGTGCCATCCCAAGGGGAGGAGTTGAAACAGTTTATATTCAGAATGTGAGAAGTCTGTAGATATCTTCTCAGCCCTCCTGACCTGTGCAATATACAGGTCTTCTATGGAAGATAGTCCGCTTGCAATTGTTCTTTCTGCAGTCCTAACTATCCTTTGGAGTCTGTACCTGTCCTGTTTGGTTGCTGTACGAAACCAGAGTTATAGAAGTACAAATGACTCAAGAACTCCTCTGTAAAACTGTACCAACTGCTACTGGGGCAGTCTGAACCTCCTGAACTGATGCAGGAAGAACATTCTTTGTTGTGCCTTTTTAATTAGGGTTCCAATGTTAGGGATCCATTTCAAGTCCTGGGAGATTATAGAACCCCAAAATTTGAAAGTCTCTATTTCTGATACTGTGCTACTGAATATAGTAAGAGATGGTAGAATAGGGCTCCTCCTAAAATCCATTTTCATCTCTACAGTTTTAAGTGTGTTCAACTCCAGATTGTTCTGGCTGCACCACACGGCCAGTTGTTCAACCTCCTTTTATATCTTGTATCGTCTGCAAACTTCAGTACTTTAACAGAGGGATTCCTAGAGATGCAGTCATTGGTATATAGAGAAGAGCAATAGAGAGAGCACACAGCCCTGAGGGGCTCCTGTGCTAATTGCCCAAGTACTAGATGTAATTTTCCCTAGCTTCACCTGTTGCTTCCTATTTGTCAAAAAGCTAATAATCCATTTACAAGTATGGACAAGCACAGTGAGCTGAATCAGTTTAGAGTAAATTTTTTTGGGAATGATGGTATTGACTGCCAAGCTGAAGTCTACAAAAAGGACCTCTGCACAGGTCCTAGGAGATTCAATATGTTGCAAGATGTAGTGTAATGCCATATTGACAGCATCATCTATCATCCTATTTGCTCAGTAGGCAAACTGCAAGGGGTCTAACAGTGGATCCATGATGACTTTCAGGTGGGCCAGCACTAACCTCTCAAAGATCTTCATAACTACAGATGCCAGAACAATCGTCCTAAAGTCATTCAGCTCCCTGCTGGAGGATTTCTTAGGAAATGGGATAATGGTAGAGAGTTTGAAGCAAGAAAGGACATAACACAGTTCCAATGATTTATTAAAGATCAGGGTGAAGATGGGGGTCAGTTATTCAGCACAAGCTTTCAAACAAGGAGTTACTCGGTTTGGGCCTGGAGTTTTTCTGATCTTTTGTCTATGAAATAGATCTCACACATCTTTTTCTAAGATCACCAGAAGTAGGGGACCCAGAGGGATGGAGATAGGTGTAGGAAATTTGGCTACTGTTGGTGTATATAAGGTGGGGAAGGTAGTGGTAGATGACAGTGATCTCCTTTCAAACCTACAGTAGAACACATTCAGTTGATGATTCAGTGGAATTTTATGTGTTATCTCCTATCAAGTACTTTCAATACACTTTGAAATTTAAGGATCATGAAAATACAGCATAATTTATGATGTTATGTTAACCAAGTAACAGGTCCTCTGTTTATTTGTTTGCATTCTACACCATAGAATGAATCCAGTGAGTATGATGAATCTCATGTCAACCAGAGAACCATGCTATAAATAAATGAAAATCAACACATTTCCCTGCATGACTCAATATTGGCATTATACACATAGAAAATAATTATTGTAGTTTAACATCAAATGCTGATTTCCATATGTTCTGATGCTTGAAAATGATAAAGCATAGGTTAAAAATACTGTCTCTTATTGCAAAGTTTGGAACTAAAAGTATAACTTAAAGAAGGAAACCTAAAAAAGTTAAACTGGGGATGCTAATGAAAATATCGAGAGGCATTTAAAACTAATTTTATTATATTTGCATAACTAACAATATACAAAAAAAAAATAAAATCCAGGCCCTGGAAGTGAATAAATTTCAGCTGGAACAATTCTATAGGGGTAAAACTCTCTACTTTGTCTTAATATTTGTATATTTTTTTCTATACCTCAAGTATATTTACCGGTATACTGTACTTTCTTCACTGCTGCCTGCAAATTAGGAAGTGCATTGTTTGTTTTTTGGGGACCAAAAGATTTTGCAGATAGATGCAATCACAACATATGAATCTTTAATCCCAAATAGACTAGCAGGTATTTAATAAACACTACACACAAATATGAAATACTATATGTTCAAAAGCTTTTTTAGATAGCGGAAGACATAAAGCAAATAGCAACAAAACATTTTCTCTATATATTATAGATAGCTATGCTTCATTTCTCTTAAGCATGAGTGAATATAATTAATAGAAATATTTTAAATTAAATCACTGGAAATGAAAATATTACCTCCCAACATGTTATCAAATATTGCTTGACATTCAACTAAGCGTTTACACAAATAGTTCAAATAAAAGAACTAAACTTATTAGAGACTTAATGCAAAGCTCAAACTTTTTGGTGCCATGACCTGCTAAATTAAATACATTTGTGTGACAAGTCCTTTCCATAAATAGAAATGTCATAACAAAGTGACATGGTTCATGCTATGCCTGCATAAGCCCAGACAATGGGAGCCCTGTCAAAGTATAGTCTGACAATTTTATTCAGGGAGAGTGGAGTTGTATACATTCATTTATTATTTACAGGTAGCTTAGAATCATTCATTTGGTGACTGTTTGATGTTACAACAAAACTAAAAAAAGTGACTTATGACCAGTTTTCACAACATCTCCATGGTTATGTGATAAAATTTAGGCACTTTAGGAAACGGCATGCATTTCAGAAACGGCATGCATTTCTGATGGTTGCATTGTCCTGGGGTCATGTGATCACCATCTATGACCTTCCCAAGCCAGATTTGTTGCGACCACATGATTCACTTAACAACTGCAGTGATTTATTTAACAACTGAGTCAAAAAAGGTAGTAAAATAGGGCATGACTCATTTAACCACTGCCTTGCTTAGCAACGGAAAAATTGGGCTCAATTGTGATTGAAAGTCAAGGATTACCTGTAGTATGGTGTAGCCAATATAGGCTACTTCTTTTGTCTATTTCAGGAGGAATCTTTTTGGTGCTTAATCCCAGAAGCCCCTTTGGAGGAATCTAAGTCAGCAGGACAACTTCCTCCACTAGCTTAGCCATCAGTCCCACACAGGCAAGCAATCTTAAGGCAGAAATCAGAGCCAGACCTTGTGCCTGACCTGAGATCAGTGACTTGGTAAATCTTGCATAGGTGCATTGGCACCGATAGTATAGAACTTTCATCAGCACATTTCTTCAAAGATAGTCTGTCTTCACTCCTGGGCAGTATAAACACTGGGCATGCCAGTACCTGTTGAAGTAGGATAGTAACTTAGCAACAGGAAAGGCCTATGGGAAACAGCTTTTTTTTCTTGGTCCTATGGCAGATCTACAAGCACCAACAGTGAAACGAGACTGCTTGTACCAGGAGTGTATCTTTGTTCCTCTTATGTAAGCAGAAATGATATTCTGATATCTTTCACATTGGGAAGTGCATTCCCTTTCAGGCAAATCTGGTGAGGTTTATGAGACTTACTGTTACTGTTTCTTTCCTCTATTCCCTGTCTGAAAGTAGCAATTCTCTTTGTGCAAGATTGGCTTGTAAATAAATACAAGTAGTTCTTGACTTACAACAGTTCATTTAGTGACCGTTCAAAGTTACAACGGCACTGAAAAAAGTGACTTATGACCATTTTTCACACTTATGACCATTGCAGCATCCTCATGGTCACGTGATTTACATTTGGATGCTTGACAACTGATTCATATTTATGATGATCTTTTGCGACTTTCTGACAAGCAAAGTCAATGGGAAAGCCAGATTCACTTAACAACCGTGTTAACTAATTTAAAACTGCAGTGATTCACTTAACAAATTTGGCAAGTAAGGTCGTAAAATGGGGCAAAACTCACTTTAAAAATTTCTCACTTAGCAAGTTGTAAGTAAGTTGTTGTCACTCGTAAGTTGAGGACTACCTGTAGCTTTATCAATGCCAAACCATGCTTCCACTCAGCCTCGACAAAGTGACAGTTTCTTTGAAGAATGAGCATGATCCCCCACCTTTTAATGTGACTACTGAGGGTCACATCTTACAATTTGAAGTTCCCCATCTTAATGTACAATGAACAGAAAGTAAACATAAAAGATTTCTTCACTGTTCTCTACAAGCTACAATAAACTGCATTCTGGGGAGTTTCTACCTGAAAGTGACAAGGAGCCAGAAGAGGACAGAATCTGAAAATAGTTTGCTGTCTATACAGCAGTTTGTATTTCAGTTTACCTTTTTCCTCTTCTTCTTCTTCCTCCTCTTCATCGTCCTCACTATTTTCAGCTTTGTTTTCAGTTCGTGGTTCTCTTTTTTCTGTTTGTTCAGTAGAAAGTAAATCACCTTTTTCAGACATATCTGCTTTTTTTCTGCACAGAAGATATAGGGGAAAATATCAGCTTAGTATGAAGCACTTTATTACTACTACTAGCACTGAGATTTTTAACACACAGCAGCAGTGTTGCACCTTCTAGCACAAAGGTTCATACAATGTGCATAGTCATAATTAGTTTATTTTTGGCTTAGAATAACATGTGAGTCTACTCATTACCATTTAATGTTATATACTTATTAGGTCACTTATATTTGTTCCACAAACAATGATTAAAATGTCCTGCTTTACCATTATGTAAGCTGTTACTGTCTTTCAAATTTTCTTACAGCACAAGAAGCAGTTCCTAAGACTAGATAGGGATTTGTTATATAACCTATTAAATACAGCCCCAAATCTCATGTGAATATTTTGCTGTAAATTCAACATTATTAGCTATATGATTTATCTACAAGATAAACATGCGGATAAAGACAAACTACTGGTAAATAAAACAAATGTATAATCTATTGAATAGTTTTATGACATCAAAGGTAAAATGCAACATGTATTTCCAGGATGAAATGGGTAAAAGAAAATATAATACATTATTATTATATATTAAATTTATTTGTTCCCCATCTCACAGGTATGCTAAAAGCAATCAATTTTTATCTTTACTATTGGTATCTTATATTACTTTATTGTTTGCGTTTATATGTACACTGAGAGCTTATGCACTGGAGACAAATTCCTTGTGTGTCCAATCATCTGGCCAATAAAAAATATTGAGTTGAATTGAAATACATTGATCTTTACATGATACCCTGATTTATTCAATATAATTCTTAGCTGAACTGCTTTGTCTATAAACTTAGCAATTCTGCTAACAATGTATACGTTAGAACCTAAGAGGAAATAGGACCATGTGCGATTCAGGTCTCAATGGGCAGTCCTTTCATGTATGGATTTTAAACATCTAAGCTTAAAAGGGGCATGTAGTTGACAAACAAACAACATATGATATCTTGATATGTTCAATGGCTAGGGCACTGCATGCATATATTCTCACATATGGGAAGATGGAAGCACCCAAATTTGCCCGGAATCCAAAAACTTAAATCTTGCTCTAGAGTAAGCTGTTCTGCAAATTATGTAAAATATATTCGGTGTTAAATACACTAAAGAATAGAAAGATGCATTCAAAATAATGCTTTATAGAATACAATTTCAAATTATTATATCCTGATTCTAGAGATTTCCAGTTACTTAAGTAGAATTGGATAATATGACTCCCACACACAAAAGGAAATTAATCAAAATTGTCTTAGAAAACTATTACTAAAACTATTATTTACTTCCAGAAAATTAAGTTCGGAAATTTTTGCTTTCTGAAGCAAGTCAAAACTGTTTTGTAGTGCAGCTTTGCACATAATTCTGAACCAGATAAGACCTTTGTCTCTCGTCTATAAAAAAAAAAAAGGCAATGGATCACTCAATATATTATTCAACACATATTTTAAATTGGTATTTGAGGTATATCTGCTTGGTAAGTTTTATACAGGGGCAGACAGAATTCCAAATAAACACTTATACTGAATTTAGTCAATTCTTGGCTAATATGTGTAGAATCGGTATCAAAAAAATTCAGATGTATAGATAGCAACCAAGATAGACTTAAAATCCTTGTTCATTTTGACCAAGTCACTATTATACATAAGAACATAATAAAGATCAAATTAGACCATAATCAACTGAATATATATGGGCACCAAGCAAGAAAACTAGAGTAGAGTCCTCCAAGTGCATTTACCAAAAACTGATAGTCAAGTTGGATACTGCTTTACAATGATGAGAGCCTTATGTTGTATTTCTCCTTTTAAAATTGTCTAAGTTAGTGAAGCTTTGCATTAAATAATGTAGTTTATTTACAATATTCAGAACTTTTGAGAAGTGAAATATAAGTTATATAGCTTTGGAAACCAAGCTGCTTAAATAAGGATATGGGAGTGTTCCTTGTAATGCTAAATAATAAACTTCAATATGTCATTCTGTGTCTGATTTTCACATTCTGTGTCTGATTTTCATTCTTCACCTGAATTGGCAATTCTTGCTAAATTTGCAGATATAAACAGACTATTTTAAGGGGCCACTTCATGCAATTATGGAGCAAGCGTGCAACAGATGAATTTGTACAACATGCTTACCAACTGAATTACTTAATGGAAATAACCAATCATCTGGTCTTGTGTAATACTCCATACCATACCATAAAGTAACCATACCCAGTACATTTTTCACAGAATGTCAGACTAAAATACAACTGGTTGTTTTTTGATGCAGTATTGATACTTGCAGATTGTCAGCTCATAGAAACAAAACATATTTTTCCAATAACACCAAAAAGGAATTTAACTCTTTCTGAATTGCATTGTACTTTTCAGCTAGCTTCAATGCGTTAACTTTTAGCAGCTAGCTATTTGGAAACAAATTCACTGATAGTTGGGAGATGGATAATACCTGCAGGGAGTATCATCACGGTGAGATACGCTGCAAATAAATGTAGTAGTAGTAATAATAATAATAATAATAATAATAATAATAATAATAATAATAATAATAATAATAATAATAATAATAATAATAATAATAACCACCAAGAGGCTACCAGTGGGAAATCAAAACACACCCATCTTCCCCTCAGAACTGCAAACCCCAATAACTTGTGAAAGTCAGTTTTTTTTTTCTTTTTCTCACCCCAACCTACCTCATGGGGTTGCTGTTGTGGAGAAAATAGGAGATAAGAGTATTAAGTCTGCTCGCCTGAGTTTTAAAGCAGAAGGAGATTGCAGGTAAGGAATTACACGGACGTGAAGAAGAGGAAGAGCATCGAAGCCAAGGAATTACACGAAGGAAGAGGAGGAGAATAATAACAACAACAACACAATATTGCGGCCGAGGAATTACACGGAAGTTTCCACGGCGTCCCCAAGTGGCGAACGGATCAGGAAGGTGCCTTCCTCTACCGAGATCTATTCCATTTTAGTACCACTGCTTGCTTAAAGACCACATAGGCTCCGGTAGCCTCGGAAGTCAGAGCACAGAGCCCCGGGCAGCTGGCGAGCACTCTTGACAGAAAACAGGATTCCGGCGGGAAACAGTTCGAGCCGCGGAAAACGTCAGGCCTCGCGCCGGCCGGAATTGGAAGTCCACTCTGAAGGGAGTAGGGAAGAAAAGGCGCTGAGGGACTCTCCCTTTTCCTGACGGTTCTATGGGGCACCGCGGTAGGGTCCCGGCCGGGCTTCGGACACTAGCACCGTCCCTCCGGTCGGGCCTGTCACAAGAATCTTCTTTTTGGCCGTTATCCCGACAACACCGAAACACCCACCTCGTCGCCGACGGACACCTCTAAGAAAACGGGCCCAGCAAGGGACGGAGACGGCCCCGGACGGCGACAAAGCGAAACGCTTCGGGAGGCACGACGGAAGAGGAGTTTGTGTGTGTGTGTGGGGGGCTGATATTGGCGTTACTCGCTTCCTCGCCGAAAATCAACAACGTTTCAAAATGGCGGGTTGTCAAAGGGGAAGAAGGAAGCGGGAAAGCGCCGGCCAATAGATGCTCAAGAGGTAGTCCGAATGAGGCGGGGTTAGAAAATGATGGGCAGGAGCGTTGAGAACGAGTCAAGAGACGTTAATTTCGAGGAGAGCATGCGGAGCATGCGCAGAATCGGAACGCTGCCTGACAGAGAAGGCGGAGCTCTGCGAGAACACCTGCAATTGCCCGCGTGCTTTGTTTTTGTTTCTCAGTTGCAAGGTGGAAGTTGCATTCCCTTCCAAATCCAGAGAATGAAGGAGGGCTGAGCTCCTTTCTGAGAGCTCAGCTTTTTCCCCCCCTTTAAACTCAGTGGGGGAGTATGTGATTTGTTTAGTGACTTGTAGGAGCGAGCGAGAGAGAGAGATTTCATTATTCAATTTTTGTGCATAGAGTAATCTTGCTGCAGATACCACACTTAAGTAACGATTTCTCATAATTCTTGTTCAATGTTCATAAAACCCAACAGAAACAATTCTGGCTTCATCGTAGTATTAATTTGCTATATTAATTTTTATCCCAGAGCTGTAATTGCACTCAACAACGAACTAAAGGGCCACCATCAGTGAACTGTTGGACAGCATTACTTGGTCTGTTGTGTGGATGTTGGGTGGTTTTAGGGGTGGGAATTGTGGTGGGGGGGAGTGTGTTTGGGGATTATGTGTGTGGGACTTGGTTTTTGGGTGTCAAGTAAATTTCGTTGTATATGTATACTATGTACACACATACAATGACAATATAATAAACTAAACTAATTAGGATTTGTACCTCTTTGCTTTTTCACAGGTCCGCCATGCAGGACAGAAGATCCTCTTTTTATTTTTACCCTTTCAACATTGGTTTGGTATTCCTTTATATAATTTTCTCAGCTTGATTGGTGTCCGATGATATATCATTTTATTAAAAAAATATTTTAAATTGTGACATCGTGCAAATTGAACACTAGTTTCACACATTTTTCCCATATACCTATATTTATAAGCAAAATTTGAAGTCCAGTTATCATGCGGTCCATTTCACCGTGGACTTTTTAAACACTTTATCCTCTATTTCAAGGTCTTGACTCTCTTCTATGTGATCCCTCTTGTGTTTGAAGAGAGCTATCCTTCCCCCACTCTTTAACTGAGGCTGAACATGTTCAGTTCCCTCAACCTTTCATTGGGCTATTAGGTTTCCAGACCCTTCGGAACAGTTTCACAGTATATCATTCCATGAATTGTGCTTAGTTATACAGATCTTCCATACTTACTGGAAGTAATTAGAACTAGGAACTTTGTTGTTAAATATGAAGTCGTAAGTTGAAAAGCCATGTGATTGTTGCTCTGCCACAGCAGTTCAGCCAATCCCAGTTGCTGTCATTAAGAAAGGACCCTGCAGGTTGCTTAGCAAGGATCTTACCTGCCGATGACTTCCAATCTATCAACTTTCCCCACTGACTTTGCTTGTGGGAAGCTGGCAGGGAAAATCACAAATTGTAATCACAGGACAAGTGGGGTGCTATAACGTCATAATCATGATCTGTGTGATGAGCATCTGGTTTGTGATCTTGTGACAAAGGGAGCTGTGCCATCCGTAAGTATAAGGTCCAATAAAACTGCCACTCGTTCAGTATTATTGTAAGTTTAATTGGTCACCAAATGAGTGTTCGTTAAATGAGGACCACTTATAATGACCGAAAGAGGCATTGGATTAATTTTTGACATTGGTTTAGTGCAGGGGTAGGCAACCTTGGCTCTTTTATGACTCGTGGACTTCAACTCCCAGAATTCCTGAGCCAGTGTTTATGAATAGTCTTAAATGGAATCTTTCATATGAACGCTAGAGGGAGCTTTGCATCAAAGTGCAACAATGATTTTTCTAATCCTCAGGTTTAATTAAAATAAATTTTCAGGATCCACTTCTCTGCATATATAAGCAGTGTTAGCTAAACTTGTAAAATATCTATATACAATAAAAGCTTCATACAAGATAAAACCCATTGTTTCAATTTCCTTATTTTTCTCCCTGTTACAATAATCAGCTTTAAAATAAACTCAAAAATACAATACAGATAGTCCTTGAGTTATGATGGCTATGGGGACCATTGCTAAACAATGGGGTCATAAAGCATGATGTCATGGGACCACATTGGTTAGTGGTGGCAATCCAGGCAGTCCCTGGTGCCATTTGTCACCTGAAATGTGTGGGTCATTAAGTGAGAAGCGTGGGTGCCACAGGTAAGGAGTTGTGACAGTGTCTCGGGGTGTGGGGGAGACCCTAAGAGGGCCAGCCCAGGCCACATGTGAGTTGAGTGAGAGGGCTGCTGCAATGTGGCGCAGCCAATAAGAATGCAGAGAGGCCAGGGAAGGAGGGTGTCTGTGCGGTGGGAAGGCCTGGAAAGGGGTGGGCACATGGTATGTTCAAAGAGAACCAGGAAAGAGCATGTGGGGGAGCATGCGAGTATAGGGAAGCCCAGAAAGAGGGATGCAGACGCAGAGTGTGTGTGAATGTAAGGTGGCCTGGGAAAGAGAGTGTGGGGTACATGTGTATGTGCAAGCCCAGGGAAAGTAGGCATGGGGGTGTGCAAATAAAGGGGGAAAGGATGGGGTGGTGCATATGCACAAGTGAAGGGAGAAGAAAGGCCAAGGTGGGTTGAGGGAGACTTACTTGAGCCACCTCCCCTGCTAGCTTCCTGTTGACTTTGCTTGCGGGAAGCTGGCAGGGAAGGCTGCAAATGATAATCACATGAGTGCAGGATGCTGCAACTGGTCATAAGTGTGAGTTGGTTGCCAAGCTCCCAAATATTGTTCATGTGACTATGGGGAAACTGCTACAGTTGGAACTTCAAGGATCGAATATAAGTGTTATCATTTGGTGCTATTAGAACTTTGATTGCTAAATGAATCATCATAACTTGATGATCTATAATCTGTTGTTAAATAAACATATGGGGAAAATATAACTCTCCTGAACTGGTTAATCCAGTATTTTCATGCTATATTTGTTTGTTTGTTACACTACAGCTTTGCTCACAGGTTAGTTGTTTTTTTTCCTTCTCCTTCTCCCTCTCCTCCATCTCCTCCTTCTTCTCCTCCTCCTCTTCCTCCTTTCTTTTAAAATATTCATATGCTTGCTCCTGCAGGCTAATTAAATTGGCCAAGGGGTTATTGGGCTCATGGTTAAGGGAAGCCACCAATGTCTCCTTGATGTGGGATATGTACAGCCACGATAAGAAAGGATTTTATGTCCAAGCAACAGTAAGAATGTGCAATGAGCTTGCTTAAATCAACCAGGCTGGCCATCTTTTCCCAGATGCTACTTGATTAATCAGCTGGGACAGTACCTACATCAGCCTTTGCAGTCTGAGAAAACGCCATTTTCTAGGACCAGAAAGAATGGCTGCCAGTTGTTTCTGCTTCTCGGGAAACATTCTCCTGCAGTTTTTCCTTAACGATTCCTGTGATTCCTCAGTCTTCCATTGGTCCTGGATCTGAAGAGGCAACAATCTCTTTTTTTGGTATCAGAAGACACTTGGGGAACAATCCTGACCATGGTGTCTTTCTAGGACATCTGAAGCATTGGAACTAGAGGGCACCTTTCTTTCTCTTCCTGTTGGGCCATCGACAAATGATGATTTTGGGGATGAGAATAGTCAGTGGATCATATTGTGTTAGTGACACAACTGGCATTCCTACTGGGTCAGATTTGTCTTCCATGTGGAGACTCTGCTATAGACAGAGATCTAAAGTACCTAATGGGAGGGCAATGATGATCCTTAGTATGTGTTTAGGATCTGAGGACCTGATAGTTATATTCTGCTGTGATTCCATGCTAAATAATGAATTCTCTATGAACAAACTTATCGTATGTTACTTTATGTTTTCCTTTGTGAATACCTTATGGTCATTTCCTCCCTCTTTGGGAGCTCATAAGAAAATAAGCAGAGGTAAACTGATCCTACAAATGAATTGTGATCTATTATTTTTATATCAAGCTGAGACTTTTCCCCCTGTCTTTCATGTCCTAGATGATGGATGCATAAAATTAGAATGCATTCATTAATCTTATAATCTCATAGGCAGAAACTTGAGAAAGAGAATAAAGAAGACATATTGTTTGTAGCTTCCGTGTAATTTTGAGTGTACAGCTTGATTCCCAAGTATTTGTTTGATGCATTTCCATCCTCAGGAGGGATGACTCTGTCATTTGGCAGTTTGAGGCAATTGCCTCAGGCTCAGATGCCAGGAGATGGCAGCAACTGTGGAAAGAGAGAGCTGAGTGCAGCGTCTGTCTTGCACACTCAGCTATTTTGTTTTCTTCAAGTTCAGTGACAGATGTTATCCCATCCCA